AGTAGAATTGGCCCCCTGGTCAGGGAGACTATAGGATAATTGTCTCCCTCAGAGCTAGGTGTGGTTAGCCCGGGGACCGCGGACCAACCGTTGTAGGTTGTACGTTCTATTTATGTTAATTGGTAATGAAACTTATTCTGTGCGATGTAGGTTTCTTTGTTCTAAATGTCTTGTAGTTATTAATTTATGATGTTCGTATTGGTACAGCGCCATCTCGTTAATTGGTGTCGAAACTTCTTGCAGTTCATCTTGCTATCAATGGCTGTGACAATGCTAGTCTTCTCGCTATCGATTGTTGTGGCGATGTTATTGCGATGAATTAGATGTCGCTATGTATCAGTCGCCACAAGTTCAAAGATTACAATATTATACTGGAACCCGTAGTTGTTGAGGGAGACCTTCTTGGTTTAAGGTCTTATTAATTAAATTTAAATATTGACATTTAGGCAATCTGTTCTGCACATGCGTGTCTATAGTTATATTATATTGAAAGTAACTCTTCCTAAAGCTATTGTCGGTGCTGTTTATATTTTATAAAGTATATATTTGGTGGTAAATAAACTCATGTGATCTAAAAGTTCCCTTTCTCTATACCATTTTTACCATCGGGTATCAGTAGTTGTATTACTGATACCCGATGGTAAATTTTTCCGGTCCGGCATGACATGAAAAACCCGGATGACTAGCTTGTGCACTTGTCCGTTTTTTTCCTGATCGGAGTGTAGGGCAGCTCTCTTTAAATCTACACGTCACTTACGCTAGGTACGATAAGATTTTTGGAACGTCGATAATTGCTTGCAGCAGTGTATACAGTATTATTTACTAACTATGTTAAATCATCATCCAAAATATCGAATTATATACTGTACAATAAATATCGTATTGGTGAACCCCAATTCTGGTCCACCAATGTTTCAATTAGAGTTAAAGTGGAAACTATGCATATGCAAACACAATTAAATAAAGATTTGAATAATTTTATTTATGTTTTGCAAGAACACCAAAATAGAAGTGAAGTAAAAAAAAATAGGCATGGAGAGCTAATCACAAAAACATTGTGTCAAAAAATATATAAGAAGAGTAAAATTGTTCTATAAAAAAGTATTTTATAGACGAGTAAAAACTCCGTGCTCTAACACTACTCCTCCATTTTATCTCTTCTTTTCCATACGTATTCATACAACACTCATATCATACCCATACGACATTCATACAACACCCATACACCACTCAAACTTACTTTTCAACAAAGGTTTAGTCAAAGTCCCAGTTGACAGCAGCTCCCATATGCAGTGGCGTAGCTACCAAGGGGCTAGGCGGGGCAGTGCCCCGGGGCCCTCAAGCTCAGGGGGCCCTCGCATCTTTACCAGGAATCTCAATCGAACTCAACTTTTGAAAATTTCTCCCATTTTGGAGACAGGTGACAAATCGAGTTTAATCATGAAAACTCAGTTGTGAAAAATACCAAAGTTATAAAAAGGAACTTCCCCTAAATTATTTGTGTGGGTTGACAGTGTTATTAATGTTTTCAGCAATTTGTTGGATATCAATATCTGCATATTATTATTTATCGAAATGCGTTTTTGTGATTCGCGATAGTGAACTTCGAGTCAAGATTTTTTTTCGATAATGGTTAAAAAGTTAAAGTATCAGGAGTAAGTAAGCGTATGTCAATAAATTTTTTGTACTGGTCCATAAAAAGGTTCAATAATATTTGATTGTAGTACGTATACATAGTTACGTAAAGAAATCTATAGATTTCGGCTACTCACTATATAACTCAAATTACCGTGAAAAATACAAGTCACATACGGTAGGGGGCCGTCCAATGATTACATGATGATTTTTTGTCATTTTTTAAACCGTCAAATGTGGTAACACAGGCGGCGATAAAATGTTTGCCGGGGATTCCCCAACGACGTCTTGTATAGTATCATTACGTTTCGCTTTCCATTTACTTGTAACGTTGTCAGTGAATAGTGAGTACTTCACTGACAACGTTGAATAGTGAGTACTACTTGAGTACAATCTTACATAAATATTGCATAAATAAATTAGAAAACTAATATTATGGACAAAAAAAAAGAAACCCAGTGGTACATTTAAACGCAAACAACGCCAAGAAAGAGGAGAAAGTAAACAAAAATTGCCCAAAATTGACAAGTTTTTTAGTCAGCCTTCTGCAAGTACTTCTGGACAAAATATTTCTATTGATAATTTTTGTAAATAGCTTGCATGGCGATAGGTTAATAACAGTAAGCTGGTGCAACGTTTCTATGAATAAATAAATATATAATAAACTCTTGAATCTTTTCTATTTCGTTTTATTGCCCACTACCTACACCAAGTATAAAAATAATTGTAATTTATGTTGTTAGTGTTTAATAGTTTTATTACCTGCCCATGCACGAAACAAAACTGATGATAAGTTGCTAAGCATTTTTAAAGCTATTTAATGATTTTACTTCAAAAAACCTTACCAGTTTTGATAGCAATGGGCACCATTTTTTTATTTGCCCCAGGGCCCTAGATTACTAAGCTACGCCACTGCCTATATGCATAAATACTGCTCCTGAATATGACTTCTTATCATAGTAGGAAGCATGACTTGCATCCGCATAACAATGTATTTCGTCTGATTCACTTATCTTATACGTAAGTCCATAGTGTATGGTTTCTTGAAGATATCTTAACACACGTTTCGCAGTCATTCAGTGTTCTTCAGCATAATGGCTGTTAAAGTGGCTTAAATAATTTACAGCTTATGCTATATCTGGTCTTGGACATACAGCTAAATACATCAATGAGCCTATCAAATTCCGATAGAGCACGTCAGGATCAGGTCTATGTTCTGGTCCAGGCTTGCTTAGATTCAAACCTATAACTGCAGGTGTAGCAGCTGACTTGCAGTCTTCCATCCCAAAGTTCTTCAACGCCTTGTTGATATACTTTGATTGGTCCATTTTGATCCCTAAATTGCTTTGAGTAATCTGCATTCCCAGGATCAGTTCCGATTTGCCCAAGTCCTTCATGTCAAACTTTGACATAAGATCCTTCTTAACTTTGCGTAGGTCATCTTCATAAACCTCTGATATAATCTTAACATTTCCTTTAGATCTAGTGTACACGCAAGGTTCATTTTTCGATCTCCTGAATCCCAACTTTAATAACTCGTGATTGAGTTTAGTATTCCACGCTCTTGGAGATTGTTTCAATCCATACAATGACCGTTTCAGTAGACAAACATGATCTCTTCCTTTCCTTTTTCTTCGAATCCTGCCGGTTGTTTCAAGTAGACAGTTTCATCAAGTTCCCCATTTAGAAACGTTGTCTTCACGTCCATTTGATCAATGTGCAAACCTTGTTTCACAGCCTGAGCAATAAGTACTCGTAGAGAACTGTGCCTCGCTACTGGTGCGAAGTTTTCATCATAATCTACTCCATATCGTTGACTAAATCCTCTTGCAACAAGTTGTGTTTTATATCTGTGTCTATTTTCCGCCTCTTCTTTGATTCTATGTAGTCATTTAGAATCAACGACGTTGGACGACTTTTGCGGCTTTACGAGAGTTCATGTCCCAGTTTTCTTCAGCGCATCAAGCTCTTCCTGAATTGCTCGTTTCCATTTTTCGCTGTCTGATCTTGATAGTGCCTCGCGCACTGTCAATGGATCTCGTTCCACCTCGGCTTGATATAGGATGTAGTCAGGGATCTCTTTTTGTTTTTTATTCCTCAGTGGATATCTCCTTTCATTTTCCTGTTGAACATTTTCAGGAACGTCAACTGATTCGCAGTCTTCATATATTTCAGCATCTGGTCCTGCAACTTCAGGTTCTGGTTCCAGGATAATTGGTTCAATATCTGTTACATCACGTTCCTCTATTTCAGATATTGGGTCACCACAATCTCCTTCAGATGTCGGGTTTTCTCAAACTCTATCACTTCCACATCCTATTGTGATCTGCGTTGGCATCTGGTTCTGGAGGCGTGTGCAAATAGATAATTCCATTTCTTTGCTTATTATCAGGAAACATCATAAACTCTACTTCAGATGATCATGATGAAATTTTTTGGTCACCCATCCGGTGACCGACCCTTGCGAAAGTTGCTTAACGACTACGATCGTGGTCGCGGCGCTTATCCACTACGCCACCGAGCTACTCACATCCTTGCCTTCTCACAAATTGTGCGATTAGATCTCTCCGCGACTCCATTTTGTTCTGGCGTGTAGTCAACAGTCAGTTGATGACGAATCCTGTTCACTTTCAGGAAGTCATCCATCTTCTTGTTGACATACTCTGTACCGTTGTCCGATCTCAGTATCTTGATCTTCATTATCAGCGTTAGTTTTAAATTCTTTAAACTTTTCAAAAACTCCATTCTTTTGTTGTCAAAAATATACAAATTGTTTTTTTACTTCACTTCTATTTTGGTGTTCTTGCAAAACATAAATAAAATTTGTAAAATCTTTATATAATCGTGCATATGCATAGTATCCACTTTAAATCCAATTGAAACATTGGTGGACCAGAATTGGGGTGCACCAATAGGTTATGGGGCCTGTGCACGTATTACGTGAACATCGCACAGGGTGTTGAAAATTTAGACCCTGGTAGAAGTCAAGACAAGCATCAAACATGGCAAGTCATAGTGGTTTAAGCATGCCAACAATGGCGAAACTAGAGGTCAGTTCAAATTATGCGACGTGGAAAGTGCAAATTGAAACGGCACTTGTCTACGAAGATCTATGGGATTACACTAGTAAGGAGACAAACAAAACTGATCCAGCATAAATAAAATTCTTGACAGTGCACACGCTAGCATTACGTACATATGGCCTAACAAATCGGACCGGAAAAATCGTACCGCCGGTTCTGAAAATTCAGTGTAGTGCACAAGCGCTCTTAAGCGGTTGCTGTATCCAAAAGTTGTATCTTCTTCTTGGTCTGTGCCGTAGTTTGTGCCTGTGGTTTGTGCTGTCATCTGTGGCTGTCATTTTCGTGAGATCCTCGTCTGAAGCTTTTTTGGATTTTTCAGTATTTCATGTATAGAATTCCATAATTTTATTACCTTTATATTAGAATGTTATTATTGTAGTTGTTTTTTTTCTTATCTTTACCACTGATTTATCGAATATTTTAAAGTTAGTGATATGGCTGATACTGCTGTAGAAACAGCCCCCGGTGATGAAAATGATGATAGTTGGCTTTACGGGGATTCAGCTAATGAGCAGATTGAAAACCAAGATGCCGAAATCAGTGATAAACAGCAACATATAGAGTCAGAGGCGAGTTTCGGATGACAGCAGCGGCTGTTTATAACCTCGTTCCAAAAAAAATGTTGTTAAGCTAATGTGATTATTGGTCTTTTAGGAGGCTGAGGATAAAGAACAAGATGATAACGAGCCAAGCAATGATGATTCACATTTCAACGACGAACATTTTGCAGACGTGGCACGAGATGACCAAGACCAGGCCAATGGAGATGCAGACAGTCAAGATAATGCGGACTCGGATTCGGATGATAGTGACGACGTGAAAGTCACTATCGGTGAAATAAAATCAGGACCTCAAGGCTATGGTAGCTTGAACATAAAGGCGAGTACCTAATTTTAATTTATTACTACTACATAATGTCATGAACATGGCCATGGGTGTTCAAAGGCTAATGCAAATCCTAAAAATTGACACATAAATAAGTACTTATTAAGTACCCAAAACTAGTTTTCTGTTTAAAATTAACTCTTGAGGATGTGATGTCATTTGAGAGGTAAACAAAGGTATGTTTCATTGAAAAAATGAGTTATCATACACTCTTTTATTATTCAAACACAAATAAATTACCCCTAAAATTATTTTAGGAGCAATCCATTATAATTATTTTACACTGAATTTTCCCGTGCTTTTCCTACAAAAAAAAAAATTACCTACATCAGAGATCACTCTGATGTGGGTAATTTTAATCTGAATTTGGAAATAAGAAAATTCAGCTCATTGAATGTAGAAATTCTATCGATTCCTTTTTTGTATAAAAATAGCAAACAAGATTGATTGATTCATATGTGTCTTAGATATTTTATTCCTATCTGATTTCAAAACTCATTTCACATATGCCACGAAATGTTATTACCAATTCAAGGTTGAGTTGATGCTGCTTTTGAAGGCAATTCGGATACTAGAATGAATAAAAGTCAATTCAATTAGCAGTTGATTTATTGTTATATTTAATTAAAATATCTCTTAAAAAGACACTAACTTACAGCTATATTTAATGTAGGTTATTTACCTTGTTTCTTTTATTTTCACATGCATTACTTAAGTTTTATCACATGTACTTTTGAAAAATGATATCATTTTTCAGATGTATCAACTGAGTTGTTGTTTTATAATAATTAAAATCAATTAATAGCTACCTTCAAATCAATATTATACATAAATACTTATATATTTAGCTATAATGCAACTCCAGATAGATAGCCAATCCACCCAAACAGCCAAAATAAATATTTTTACATATATTTAAACTTGCGATTAAGATAAAAATTTGTTCTAATAATTATATTACTAATTATTTTGTTTTAATTGCTGATTGCTTTTAAATACCCATTATAATATAGTATAGTAGAGTAGAATAAGTAAGCAGTATCAGAGGCCTGGTTAATTATTATTTTACCATATAATGATATGTCATTACTATGTTTGGGTCTTATTTTCCACAAGTTGTCAAACAAAATCATATCATTTTTATTCAAAAAGTATGACAGTATTTTTACATTTCAGAGAGGTGTTGGTCTAGTAGCAGCAGGTGCTGAGAAACCTAGACCTGGTGTTACAGCTGGTGGCAAAGTCACATTAGAAGACCTGGAAGGTTCAGGTAGCATCAATGGAGTGCCAGCACTTGAGTTCAACATTGACACCATTGAAGACAAACCATGGAATAAACCAGGAGCAGATATTTCAGGTACGTAAGTGGAAACAGAATGAAAAAAAAATCATGAGCTGTTCAAATCTAAAGTTCTTTAAAATAATGGCTGATAAAAAAAAAAAAAAAAAATTATTTATACACTCTAGGCTGTTTTACACAAGCACTTTTGAAAGTCGAGAGTGATACAATTTTTAATAAACATGGTTACAACTGATGTTTGATTTTTAGTTGTCATACTTATAGGATTTTCTATATTAAAAACACAAAGCTACTTTAAAGTTAGCAAGAAGGTCAAGGACATACTTCAAATTCTGGAATAAAAGAGCGAAGAATGTATGATAATTGACTGTAATTGTGCAATTAATAAATAACCTTTAGTTATTCCTGGAAATCCCCAAGTCTAGTATTAAAAAATCTTATTACCTTTCATTATATAAATATATTGTGGTGTATTAAAGGTGGGTTTTTCATGTATTCACTGAGTGCGCGATGACGGCGCCTGCTAGCGGTTACAATGACGTTGGGACTCTGAAATGTGAAATAGCAGTACGATGATAAAGTAAAGAAATAACGATTTCAATGTAACATCATAATTACTTTAGATTCTATTCGGCAAATCTAAAGTGTCGGATTTTTTTATTTCCTGTCTCAAATGCAATAATCAGTAAATTTTAGTTAGTAAGAAATAATTAATAAACAAACTTAATCGAATAAAGCATTTCATATATATTGCAGACAATCATTTATGACTGTAATGTCGTTAATAATGCCGATTTTGTGTTTCAGTTAAAGAATGAACAAATTGATTATAAAAACTGGATTCTTAACAATCACACACAACATCGCTTTCTAGCCACAAACAAACATAAAAGTAAATAATTGGTTATGGCTTAATTTTTTGGAGATGTAAAAAGCTTAATATGTAAACTCATTTCATAATTTCAGTTATTATAGAATAAAACACTTTTCTTAGTATTTATACTGTCATTTTTGTGTTGCGAAATAACCTATACGCCCATTAATGCAAACCGGCAAAATATTGCTGCTCTAAAATGGCAGGTGTTATTATCTGGTGGTGCCTAAATAAAAATATTATCAGGGGTACATAATATTCTCTTTAAAATAAATTGGTATTTTGATAATTTGGTGTATAATTGTCTGCAAGAAATACAAGAACGAGACTCAATTTATGTCTTAGAATGATAAACATGTTTTTAAATAAAAGTACTGCATTATAAATTTTTAATTTCAAATTTATTCTTATAATCATTATGGCAATAGAGAATAAAATCCCAAAAACATACACAGGCTTATTTATTAGAAATATTATCAATACGAAAAAATAAGTTCTCAGTAATTTTATTTAATATTTGATATGGTAACCGTTGCATTATTCTCTCGACATCGATCACTGTTTTTGCCATTGATGACGCAGCTTGTTTCGTGACACATGTTTATTTATTTTCGCTTAAAATGCATGTATACGATAATTTCTCTAGTAAAATGTAACAGTTCGTCCAGCCGCATTTCCTTTTTTCGCCTTTTAATTCGCAACCAACAAATATTGCAACCAGCTTTTTAAAATAAACTCTGTAGTTAGAATATGCTATCTGCGATTGCAGATTCCAAGAAACTTATCGAAAATTTTGAGTACCAAAACTATTACGACTCCTTTTCCAATGTAAAAAAAAATTAAACATACTCTACGCATTTTAATCAGTCCTAACTATGAGTTGAAATGTTAATAGTATATATTGTATGTTTAGATTATTTCAATTACGGTTTTAACGAGGTGACTTGGAGTGCGTACTGCGAGCGTCAGAGGCGTATGCGCGTGTCGGAGGCGGGCGTGGGCATGCACGTCGGGCCTCCGCCGCGCGCGCCGGCGCCAGACATGCGCCGCCCTCCGGGTAATCTATACCTATATTATACACAGGAAACATTTGATTGTTCGTTTGTATGCGTATAAACATTTGAGATTTAAATATTTATTTAATTGACAACACACGTCACTTTTAAAGTTCACATGGAAAAAGGTGTAGAATGCTAGACATAAAATTGGGTTAAAGATTTAAAAACATGAAACACTTATCCTTAATTTAAATATTATAAGTAAAACAAATAAAAAAAAATCGAAATTAAAACAATGAACATGTTACCAATTTAAAACATCTTTTACAGATTAACAAAATTTACATAAATTATATGAATTATTACTATATCACTAGAATTTAAAGTTTAGAGTAAAGAGTGTTTGTTATAGTATGAAATATTACACATAAGTGTGATTTAAAATACCAAAGCCAAAAAATTTCACTTTAACAATAAAATTCACTTTTGTAATTAATTTCAATAATTGGGTGACTACTAGTTATAATAAAAACAATTATAATGAGGAAGTGTTAAAAAATAAACATTAGTTCCCGAAATCCAACTAGATGTCGCTACGGTACTTTCTTGATTCTCCATGACAACCCTTCTGGTTTTCTTTCATGTATAAAAGTAAATTAATTTTCAAAACTCAATAAACAACTCGTATTCTATTTGTATTGATATCTAAGTTTCAAACTTTGCAATTTTCCATTTTTTAATATGTTAGTTATAAGGAACGGAAATTACTATTTTTGGTCCATGCGTTTCCTGCAAAAATCTACTTTTGCTTGAGTCGCCATCTAGTGAGGTGCTATTTTAGTGCTTTCTTTTTTTTCTTAAAATACTTCCTCGTTGTTTTTGTGTGTATAATCGCCCCTGGACAAACCGAATATAAAATAAATATAAATAAATATTTAACAACATCACATACATTGTTCAGATTCCAAGATGAGTAGCTAAAGCCCCCGTATTATGGAGTATCTGAGACAACGAAGGTACCACAACACCCAGATCCGAGTCAATATAGAAAAGTTCATTTTCTACATTGACCCGACCGGGAATCGAACCCGGGACCTCAGAGATGGGGACACCTTGAAACCGGCTTGCGAACCACTCGGCTACGGAGGTTTATTTTCAGTCAAATATTGTCTCTGGTTTGGGTGTAATTATACCTTCGTCATTGATATTTCATTAACGTGTGGGCCTTAGCTATTTATTGTATGACTTGAGTAATGAGATGTTTAATATAAAATTGTTTTTCAGGTATGATGAGAAATGATGAGGGTCCTCCACCAGTTATTACAAATAATTATCAAGCTAGAGAAAATACTATTCAGGTAAGTTCTTATTACATAATAGTTAAATGACCCCTTAGTTCAAATGCACTTTTACGATGATTTTTATATAGGAAGCTATATAATTATTTCGTATGACGATTTTTGAAACTGTCAGCTTTTCTGTGTCGTAGGGGTATATATGAAAAAAAATATTGGGTCTCCCCCTGGCCACCAAATAAGTTATATAACAAATATAAAAATATTTATATCATGTGCACATAAATGAAATTGTAGTGTCTCAAACTAGTGTCAGCGCTTTTACTGGTACTAATGGATTGGTACAGGTAATGCGTAATCGAAATGAATTAAAAATAATCTCCATTATTAAATAAGATAGTCCTTAGGATAGAAGTTATAAAACTTAAAGAAGCCCACCACCTGCCAGACGTCAGGGGGAGAAAGAAATTGCACTCAGAACAAAAACGGTAGAAGCAATTTGGACGGCCGGTATCCAGAAATGGCTCTTTATAACCGACTTAAAAAAGGAGGAAGTTCTCAATTAAACTGTATTTTTTTTCTGTTTGTTACCTCACAACTTTTTACTGGGTAGAAAGATTTTGATGATTCTTTCTTTATTTGAAAGCTAGGGCTTGCCATGCGGTCCATATCTAACAATGGCATCTATGGGAAAATGGCATATATGGGATGGGAAAACTATATAAGACTAAAATTTGCATGAAGTTATACCCTATACCTCAAACTATCACTAAAATGCATGAAATAAAAACTTAAAAAAATGGAACTGACTTCCAAATTTAAAAAAGTGAAAAAAAATAATTATCTGAGAAGCAGTAATTTTTTTTTTAAGAAACATTGAAGTTGGGTGATTAATATTTAATTAACTACAGAAAACCTCAGCCTGATTTCAACGTTTCTTAAAAAAAAACCGCTTTTAAGATAAGTATTATTTTTATATATTAATAATTAAATGGATCTGTATTATTTCTGGCGAAGAGAAACAAAACAGTGAGCAAAAACTGAAAAAAGCAACACCTGCCGATACGTTTCTAATACAGCATCGCAAATGGCCGTTGAATACAGGCACTAAGGCAGAAATACATCTCAGCCTACTCCATAATTCAGCATTATTCAGAAAAAAGCGAAATCTCAAGTCGGCTCCAAAAACTTATAGAGGGGGTGATTGCTCAAATAATATACCCCAACAAAGCGGCTGTTCTTTTGCTGAGGTATTAAAAAAGGGATGACCATCATACCTTCACTAGCACTATCAAGATTGATATTTACCCTAAGGACAAAATAATCTCTAGTGAGAATACTATAAAAACTGGCCAAGAATATTATCAAGCCTAAAAATTGGAACTTCCTCAAATGTGGAATTGCAAATACCAAAAAGCTATTTTTGATATTATTATAAGTACTGAGAGAAAGAATGACATGAAAAAGATTAAAGACTTATGATTGATTTGATTTGAGTTCCTCTTCTTTTTTTATGTACGACATATTTGCGTTTACACAATTCTGTCAATGACACATGAGTGGCCTTTACACGTAAAGAGACAACAACAAAAAATATATTCGGAGATCATGAAATAAGAAAAAATATATGTAATGCAAGATGTATTTATACGAGCATCCTAGTCGTCATTGTCCATTTATAAAAAAAACGAAGTTTTGCCGTGACCCCGAATTCACGTATGTACACTTTGGATGTATCGGTCACAGCATTTCAAGAAACCAGTGGCGGACTACCTCATCGGAGGCCCGGGGCAGCAATAAGCCAGGGTTGACAATTGTTGCCAACCAGGGTAGAAACATACAAAAGAAACACGTAAAATAATTTAATGAGTTTAAGTATAATTGATACTGACCTACATAGGTAACTAATCATAACATGCTATGACTCATAATATAGCAAACATCAATATAATAGGTATCATCAGTATCAGCTATTTAAAATAATTTATTGTAAAATTTAGATGTTTAATTGTACTATATTTAAGAGTTTAAAATAGCTTTTGTATGAGTATTAGATTGTAGCTTAAGATTGAATCTGAAATAAATTATTCTTATTCTAAAAAAAATAATTTACGAATGTAAAGAATTAAAATTAATGAATAAATGTATTCATAATTTTATCTATTTACATTCATATAATTATTTTTTTCAAAGTGTGTTTTATAGATATTACTTATTTTGACTTTAGTTTGACACCGCTTATGCATATGTATAACTTTTGTGATCATACATAAGAAATATCAAGAAAATGACAACTTACAATGCAAAGGAAAAATAAAACGTGAACAACTGCCCTTTTCCTGAATCAAAATTCATAATATGTTATCAGAAACCCTGAATGATAAAGATTAGAATAGAAAAAAATATGCTCTGTCTGACTCTTTTAGTAATAATTGCCTATTTGACTATTTTAGGAATAGTATTTTTAAACTCTCATCATCATATAAAGCACGGTCAGATTTATTTTTTCTCCAAAAAGTGTTATTAAATATAAGAAAACAATTTTATTAATTAATTTAAATTAAAATAATCGGTCGCGTCATTACGAACTGTGACGTTTAGTAAACATAAGTACTGGTTGCAAAAAGACGTAACGTAAATGTCATCAACTAAAGCTTATCGAGATATGACGTCACACGACGCTCCGCCATGGCCGGCCGCGTTTCGATTCCTGTGATCCACAGATTTTATTTTGCAGTTATTAAATGTATTTATAACGTATTTTAAAACAACATTTTTACCTATTTATAATTTCCAACATATTTCATAATTTATTTTAATATTTGCATTTAAGACAAACGTATCTTAACTCATACCTACAGCTTAGTCTTCTGTTTTCTATCTAAAAAGTAATTTATTCAAAGATTCATTCGTATTAATCGAGTTCCGTTTGCGTGACTCCAATTGAATTTCAACTCGTTATTAAACCGAGTTATCACCAGAGGTCGGAATTAGGTAGAGTTATTTATGTACTTGCATCGAAATGTTGATATTAATGTGGACCTTCCCGGGATTTCTTTATTTCTTATTTCTTTATTTTTTTCTTTCATTGATGTAAGTTTGGCAACGTCGTGCGTGCAGTAGTTAAAATTGTGTGAAAGTAAATAACTATTTATTTAAAAAATCTCGGGATTTGAGGCATATCCACTTTATTCTTTCGCTGTATGAAATCAGTGTAAGTATATGAATAACTACCTAATTCCGACCACTGGTTATCACATCGATAACAACACAGACAATTCTCTTTGGTCTAACGTCATGAATGGACATTTATATCCTACAATTTGTGCTTCCATCTAGTGTCATAGAATTTTGTAGTTTCTTTAAATACATCCTCATTGTGTTAATAAATAGGTGATGACAGCGGAGCGTCGCGAGTACGGGCGCGGTCACGTGCGCGAGATGCCGCCCCCGGGCGAGTACTTCACGCCGCCGCCGCCCGAACATTACTACCCGCCCCATCCATCCTACGAGGAGCCCTGGCGTGAGTTTTATCTATTACAATTACCATTTAACAACTACTTACAGTACTTCAAGATAAATAATCGGAAAACAGTCGTCTGACGGTGAAATAATGTTTCTTTTTCATTTCTGGAGATGGCAATATGAAAACTAGAAATCGCGGGCGAAGTTGTCTATGGAGGGCTAATCTATACTTCTATTATTGAGAGGAAATATTAGTTTGATTGCTTGCATCGAATAGGCTACAAAACTACTGGTCCCATTTTAAAAATTCTGTCACCGGGATGCTACATCGTGTGCGGTGAATATAGGCTATATTTTATTCCGAAAAAAACGGCAAATAAAGGGATGAAAATGGGAGTTTGTATGGGGACTTAAAACGTTACCATAGTAATCATTGTTCACTATTTGTAATTGTAATTATAATACATGTCATTTTATGAAATGAATATCCAAATAAGAAGTTCCCTAGCGACCACGCAGGCGACGCCAATAATAATAAAAAGGTGGAAGCACAGGGCCCCGTGGTTACATAGGGCCCTCAACTTACAACAAAAATAATATACGATACGGTACATTTACTTTAGGTACTATTGAACAGTTTCTTAACAAAACTACAATTACTTCAGTAATTAATAGGTCCATGTCCCCTTATTGATCGACATTAGCGCTAGCGTATGCTAGCAAACAAGTCAAGACTGCGGAGCGGCACAATTACAAAGTCGATCGGTCGCAATTGCGTACGAGACCAAGGAGGCTGATTAGTATTAAGCCCAGGGCCCCACAAATTCACGGTCCGCCTCTGGCTGTAGGTATAAATATAATAATATAAAAATATAATCATTAGAACAACTTTAAATTTAAAACCGCATTGCGGGGACTCGGGTTTGTGTCCTATCTCAGAGTAAATCATTGAGAATATATTTCAGTATAGCGTTGTAAATGCAAAATTGATCAAATTTCAATTCAATTTATTTATTTATTTATTTTTTTCAATTCAATTTAAGGGAAGTCCGGGAGACTTGAACCTCTTTTTACTTGAATTATTATATTTTCTTATAGATTTGTCCTAGAGACTAGATTATAATTTTAACTCATATGTAATTTATATAGGTTTGTTTTTGCATCATTACTTTTTCAATATTTTAATACTATAAATAACTTAGCCGATTTGAACTAAAAATGGGAAATGCATCAACTCTCCCCACTATGAGGGACATATGATCAAAAGTCCGAGGAAACTCATTATCAAGAGTTTTAGTAGTTTCTGTTTATTTTTTCAGTCTTCTTTCTATTAGTCTTTTGCGTAGTTTTGCTTTCATATATTTAATATTTGAAATTGATGCTAATCGTTATTCTCAAAAATTTTAAAAACTATTCTAAATGTTATTTGCCTTCTGTTTCATTGACTGGCTTGTTTTATTATTATTTATAATATTGAATTGAATGCAAGCCAGTATTATGAGATACGAATCATCACCACAGAGGGTATAATTAACCACTGATGTCTTCAACAAGAACAGTGGTTCAACTCTCCCGCATACATCACTTCGACATAAAAATTTCATTGCAGAAAAGGTATTCAATTACTGTTAAAAAAATTAACGTACTTCAAACTAGAATAATCAGCAAACACGATAAAATAATACACAATACTTACGTCGATAAACGCGGCCGTAATCTTAGAACTACTAATTATTTAAAATTTATTTTGTAGTGACCAAAACACTTACCCAACTTTAAAGCTAAACAAACCAGGCATTTTGAACAATAGTGACACATATTATTAGTTTTCCGTACATGATCTACGGCTGTATTAATATTTCATTAGCATGCAATTTACGTTAAATTTTGAGAAGTGGTTCAACTCTCCCATCTGGGCAAGTCTCCCGAACCCCCCCTATATATTTTTGTATAAATAAGGTTTATCCGACAGCTCCGCAGCAGCCGAGCGGGTGGGCGCCGTCGGACATAAAGGAGCTGACGCCGGGCCCGGGCGGGCCGGGGGCGGGGGCGGGGGCGGGCGCCGCGGGGGGCGGCATGGGCCCGCCCCCGGTGCTGGGCGCGCCGCACGCGTACCCGCCCGCCTACCGCCACCTGCCGCCCCCGCACCCGCATCCGCACGCCCTGCACCCCCTCGACCGCGACCGCATGCGGGAGCGAGACGACCGCCGCGAGCGCAGGGACGATGTATGACACTTACTTTTATCTAACGTGACCATTTTTTGTTGATAAAAGCGGAATATTGCTTTTATTTTTAAGAATTGTGGGGGGGGGGATCATGAATTTAAATAGATTTTAACTTTTTTATTCTACCTTTACCGGTATAGTGCGATAAGCAAAGACACCAGTAATAATGAGACATGCCTAATACTTATTTGCTGGGTACCTCAAAGTAATTGGAAACCGAATGAAATAATTTAGAATTGATAGCTGTGACGGGGAAGGCGACGAGACTGTAGTCCAATTCATGTAACAAAAGTATATCGCAGCGTTTTAGTGGTTGAACGAATTTTCCTATTCACTTCTATGAATAAGCCTATTTTAAAGTAGTTCTATCGGATTATCTTCAAAGTGTATTCATCTAATCAATCGTATTAAATAATGTCGAACGTCTGGTCACGTTACCTATAATTCTTACGAATTAATATGTCATTCAGTTTGCCCTTTGAGATAGTAGTTTTAGTCAATCGTTTGACCTTTGCCAAACGCGCCGCCAACATACACCGCTCAACTACCAAATTGAGTAGCTAAAACACTTGTATTACGGCAATCTGAAATAATAAAATTACCACGTTACCGCGACGTTATAGAAAAGTTAATTTTCTATGTTGACTCGAACTTGGGATCTCAGAGATGGTAACAAATGGTTATTTTCTATTTAGAATTACAATGATTTTACTTTTATAGGAAGAGCGAGAGAGGGAAAGAGACAGAGAACGGGATCGAGACCGGGAGCGGGAACGTTCGCGTTCCATCAAACCAGAAAGGATAAGAGAAAAGTAAGACCCATTTAACTAATTGTAATTTTAATATCGAATAATTTTACTAACTAAACTATGATAACCCTAAATTTTATGCATTTATTTTTCTATTATAGAAGACGCAAGTAAGTTACTGATTTAATATTATAGACCATGAAAGATTTAAATATACAAACGTAATTAATTTGGTGACTCAGTTATGTACAGTCAGCACGTCACGCTATACAACACTCTCAAGTTTCACCAAATTAATTTTAAACCTTATTACATTGTAGGTCGAGTTTAAAATTGACAATCGTGGTAGCCTGACGTGCAGCTATGTGTACCTATAATACGTCTAGTATGTGCAATATTTTACTTTAAATGCGGTAAATTACTTTTTCGTTTTATCTCCTTATTTTTAGCTAATCTCGAGTTGTTCCGCAGGTCGTACAGAAGAGAGCGGTCACGATCTCGTTCGCGACGTCACAAGTCCCGGTCGCGATCGCCGCAGCTCCGCGAGCGTGAACGCACTCGCGACCGTGATCGTTCCCGCGAACGAGAGACTCGAGAACGCGATCGTTCCCGCGAACGTGAACGTTCACGTGATCGTGAACGCAGTGTCAAGCCTAAATCTAAAGAAAAAAAGGAAAAGGATGAAGAAAACTAGAAACCTATGTTCACTCGTACGGAGTGTTGCATGTTCTCTTTTAAACTGTACTATACGAGTAAAAATAAAATAGTGTATAAGTAAAATTTATTTGTTTCATTTCAATAGTTCTCTTAGGATTAATCAACGTAATGTCGAACCGCATCAAAGTAAGAGTAGATACTTCACCATTTTTCTAATGAATGTTCATATTTCTACCTAAAAATTCAACCTAATCGATGATACCAGTATTGAATGACATCTAATTGCGCTTTCGAGCGGTATTTTATTAGTTGTCAAATTCCGAAAAGAACGGTGAATACGAACCCAAGTCTTAAGGATAGTATGATAATGTAAATTTTTTCGTAATATTGGACGTAAAAGCAAATAAATATAAATTGGACATCATCAAATTAGTGGACGCAAATGACACTCTTAAAAGAAAATATTAAGTATACCCTTCACGAACTACTTTTTACCAACAGTGTCATTTTATGGGTTATTCCACTAATCCCCATCAATGTTGATTTGTGAACTTTTTGCCCACTAATCACTCATGATGGGGATTTGTGGAAAAAAGTTGTTGATAAAGTTCACAAATCCCCATTATCATATAATAAAGTACTTTGTGCCATTATCTTAGAAATGAAATACAAGAACAAACAAAACCGAAATTAATGATCAGATGGCCTATTCGCTAACTTATTTTGACAGCTGGCAGTGATTATCACCGAGCTTGTCAAGCTCACATTGACGTGTCAGTGTTACCAATGTTATTACTGTCTCTTACGGAAACGCCAAAGTTTTTCCTTTGATCCTTTCTTAGGGTTATTCTCAGTCCACCGATTGGTAGGAAGAGCTGGTATACATACTATTTCCCATATCTCCAATTGAATTAATTTTGTCTTTATCACAAACTCATTTATCTGCAACTTATCAACAATCCGTGCTTTTTCAGTGTTTTAGGTTGAGTTAGATCTCAGGAAAGACCTAGGTCTTACCTGCAAATTAAAACACCTACAAACGTAGCTTCCAATTTCGAGCCTTAAAATTAAGTAGCGTTTTTTGTGTGTGCCAAGTGACACATCCCACCATTTTGTGACAACTGTTAGCCTAGTCATAAATATATACCAATCAATTATAAAATTCCTAGATGGCGCTGTTCTTAGCTTATCTTTTTATTTGTTAATCAATCGTTAGATGGCATTGTTCTTGTTTTATTGATCTTTTAATGGTCTTACTCTGTGCATGTTTTGTGTACATTGCACAATGACGTCATGAATATAACCGACAGCGGTTTCGCGGTTATAATAAGTTTAAATTTTGACTTAATTTTAAGGAAAGAAAACGTATTTATTATTCCGAAATATTTTCTTTATGGATTTGTTAAATAAACATAAAGCTTGTTAAATTCGTTTCAAAATACAAGAGGGTAGTGATGCTACAGCACTTGTGTTTTAAAGGTGTGTTTGGAATAAAACAACAGATTCTTTGTAATATTATTACAGAAATGCTTTATTATAATTAATGTCTAAATAGATGGATCATATAAATGTTATCTAGTACAACCTACAAGACGGGGCGGCCGGAGCAGCGCCGAGTCAGACCTCGCCACCCTTGACGCCTCGCCTTATTCCATCACATACAGGTTTTACAAATCATTTTGTTAACGTTTTTGTACAGCCATATACAATAATTTTATTTTCAATTACATCTAGACGTAAAAAATTTGAGGTGTCGTAGGAAACTACGCTTCCTATAATAATTAATTACACAGGGGGAATGAGGAGCAGCTACGCTTGTGACGTGCAACCGGCAAGGTAGACCTCGGGACTACAACTATCAGTACAGGACTTTACAATCATCACTATAACCTACGGTGACCTACGCTACAACATAAGCATCGCCCACTCGATTAGCGCTCGCTCCGAACTCCGTCGGAGTCATCATTAACTAAATAACTTAATTACATAAAAATATACAAAAATATCATTTTCACAAAATTATAATCGACGAACTATACACTCCGGCGCTAAATATTCGATAAACTATGTACGATTTTAAAGCCGGTTTTATAACTTAAACGAGAGCTTGACTTGAAGAATAGTAACAAAATAATAATATTATCACGACTATAGTGCCGATTGTCCAGAACTGCCTGTGGCATTTCTTCATCACTTTAGAAGATTCAAGGTCCCCTAGCCCAGCTAATAGTAAATCTACAACGAGCTAAATTAAGGAATCGCACGTGTCCCTTAGACAGCTTTGCATTCCATCGATTCATAAATTACACGAGAATGAGAGACGTTCAAATATTTATACATAGATTCATACGAACAACGAATAATACTAGAACACTTACGAGCTAGAAACGCAATAAACGCTACGCCGCGGTGACGCGACGGCCGAGCACCGGAGTCGGCGTCGACGCTGTACAACTATTGTTACAGTATACAGTATATCGTATCGTTCTGTACATCAGTCTGCCGCTACGTATGTACAGGCGCTGCCGGACGAAGCGACGAGCTCTATAGTTACAAATGTACAATCGCAAATATTCACAAAATTTATAATAGGCGGGGGGGATACCCGCGCCGTCGCATCAGCCCGCTAGACCCGCGCACGTTAATACTTTACACAGACTACAGGACCGGGTTGGGCGGCGGCGGGCCGATGGGCCCGAGCTCGGGCGTCTTCATGAAGAACTTCTCCAGCTTCGCTATTATGTGCTTGCCGTACGTGTACTTGCGCAGCGATCCGATGTGCGGCCGGATCTTGTGCATCAGCACCTTGCGCTGCGTCGGCTCCGCCACGTCGATCATCTTCTGGACCACGTAGTTCGCGTACTGGTCCTTCATCATCACGTGGAGGGCACTGAAAAATGCACGACTACGCTCAATTTTACAGACCGACGGGCCGACCGATCAAAATCGATTTATTGCCAAGTAGCAACATTCGGCACTATAAAAGCTCCAAGAACGTTTAAAAGCGTGCTAATACAGTTTTAAACATAATGTTGTGAACACCAAATAGGCCGTAATTTTATCACTGATTTGTTCTAAAAACAGTAACTATTACGGATCTTTTTATCACTATATGGTAATTAAAGGCCTTAGTTATATAAAAAAAAATATTTAGGGCCTTAAATATATTAAATTTTATTAATTCCTCTGGAGATGTAAAAAAAAATCATAACTACTGTTGTAATAAGGCAGAGGACGGAAATAGTAACAATGGTTTCAACACTGTGGCACGAGCTAGACTAAATCTACTCTGATTCTGGTCCATCAGCACATAGCATAATATGGCGGTATATATGGTACAGACTTGTCATTGAACCCGCACAGCTCGTCGATGAGCAGCGCCCGCTCGTTGCGCGTGGCGTGCGTGACGCACTTCTCCACCACGTTGGAGGCGAACTTGTGCTGCGACAGCTGCAGCACCTTCCCGCGCACCGCCGCCACCAGGCGCGCGCGGTCCTCCGCCGCGCCGTGCTCCAGCACGTGCTGCACCACGTAGTTGCCGTACTGGTCCTGCACCGCAAGCGCACACATCACACACATATACACAACACTTAACATTTCGAGATTGTGGCGGTAATGGATTCAATCAATTTTGCAAAACAATATTGAAACGTCGAGTGTATTTTAATTCAATCCGATGTCAATTATATCACACATGGTAGAACTGAATAAGTAATTTTTATCAAAGGCAACTGGCCTTTACACTTACACGACTGTTGGACTAGATAGCCGTGCAGTCTGAGGTTCCCCGACTACCGGACCAGCCAAAGCTCGTCAAACTCTGATAGCCAACAACTTATAACAACTATAAGTCAAGCGAAATGACAATACATTACAGTCGACGGCAACACGCTCTACATTTGGTATGAATATACGTCCACAAATGTCAACTTTTGTGTTCTCAATGGTGATAAAAGTGAGAGTCAAGTTGAATCTCCAATGAAAAGAAATAATAAAAATTGTCCTTAATATGTAGTGTAAGAGAGGTGGAGTGTGAGCAAGAAAGATCATGGAATCACAAGAGATTCATACTGTCTGATAGATCTTAAAATATCAAAGTACAATCTTTTGACGCTGTAAACATATTATATCCAATTATTATTATAATGAAATAATAAAAATAAAAATCCAGTAAAAGTGAAATTAATATGTCATCTATATTGACTGGCGAATAAAGGCCACTTTGAAAACGACAGCCTTGACATCTCGAGATAAAAGCACGACCCATCTCTAGATATTCCTTCTCATGTGCGTCTGACATAGACAGCTCGGAACAGATAACAACACTACAACCGCCGTGCGCGCGGTGTTGGTCAGATTATAGTGTATAGTGTTTCTTTCACATAGCATGGGTATGATGACGTTTGGGATTTGAAATCGGAACATCTTATCTATCTTCAATACTGATCATAATCATTTGCACACATATTGAAGTTGTTTGAATAGATAAAAAATCGGTTGTGTTTTTAAGTGTTGCTATTTATAAGTAACTAAATATTATAATCAATTACTATATTATTTAATAAAACATAAACGTTATTAAAACTTTATTATAGTTAATCAAATTATAATGGCGACAATAGTTAAAAAATGTCAATGATTACCGAATATTTATAATGATGAAAACAATTTAATTGATTCAATCCTTAAAAAAACCATATCATTTAACATCTCAAGTATTGATGTTTTCAAATTTAGTGGATTATATTTCAGTAATTATGGATATTAAAAATTTAACTGTGTTTTAATATGCAAAACTAAATAAACATCTAATAGAAACTCAAACTATTTTTATAAGGATGATATTTAATCATTTGGAAATACAAATTGCGTGAAATGGATTTGTTAACAAACGTCACCGTGCCCGTCCTATGTGAAACGGACTATAGTGTCTTGTGTACCTGTATGAGTTGATCTGTGTGCGCGTGCAGTTCACTGAGTACGGGCGCGGTCTGGTCGGGCGTGCAGTGTTCGAGGATGCGTTGTATGACGCGGCATCCGTACGGGTGCGTCGACAGCGCGTACACTTGACCGGCGAACGCGTTTATTATGAACTGTAGCGCCGTCGGCTCCACGCACTCTATGCACTTTTGTACCTGCAATAAAGTGCATTTTTAAATATAATAAATTTATAAAATATCAACAATTCAGAATTCTATAAATAGTCCTTATCATAATATATCGGATAGAAGACCGCTCGTAATAATAGATTGATAAAATAAAATAAAAAATATCAGGAACCATCACAGTTTTGTTTCAAATTTCCGTATTACAAGCGCTTCGAGAATATGACTCAGGAGAGATATTCTTAATGAAAAATGCTCAAAAAATCTACTTTGCCCAGGTACTCTGAAATGAGACTCGAATCCATGAACTTTCGGCGGGCAACTGCTCTAACCACTGAGTTACTTTACAGACTGCCGAATCTTTCAAGCCCTTTTTACTTTATCGCTACTACATCAATGGTTAGGCGATCCACCCAAACAGACGAAAGAGATATTTTAACAAATATTTAAAACTTTCGAATAAGATGAAAATTTGTTCTATATATATATGATAAATTTTGCACACACAATGCTTGAATAAATGAAAAATGCTTTGTGTGACAGGTACTCTGAGATGGGAGTCGAACCCACGACGCAATCCGGCCGACTAGGGATCTGAGCTATGTATGTAATGTCCATTGGGTAATATATGAGCAAAACGCACCACATGATTGCCGTTCTGATCCTTGACGCACTTGAGCACGTGTCCGTCGAGCTCGCGCACCACCTCTTGCTGCTGCTCGGCGGGGATGGACTCGAGCGCCTTCTGTATCACGCGACATCCGTACATCTGCAACGCCAACGCCAACACGTGCCCGCGCACCTGCAAACACCGACATATGCACTCATATACTTCTTGCAACCACCGGCACTTAGTATATATACTAAGCGTCAGCTGGCTTTGAAATAATAATGCTGAAACAGATGCTCGTCTGCCTTGCTTAGCAATAAAGTCACTTTTAATATTATTGTGTATGTTTTACACGTAAATAAGTAGGAAGTATTTCTTTTTACTTAATTTTAAGTGACTTAGATTTAAGTAGATGTTAAATTGTAGTTAAGTTCACTCAAAATGGACGAACAACAACGCAAAGAAATCGCAAATTCTGTACCAAGATTTGTTATTGATGACGAATTAGGGGATAAAATAACAAAACAGATATTTAATTCATTAATTAATGAATACGACGGTGCCATACATACGCTCTGATAAATTAATGTACATTACACAAATTATTTTAATAGCAAAATTAGCTTGGTGGCGTTGTGGATAAGCGCCGCTGTCCGCGATCGTTGTTGTTGCTACAAAAAATAATCACGAGCTACTCCGCGCTTCGGAAGGCACGTGAAGCCGTTGGTCCCGGCTGCATTTGTAATATTTCATACCATCCAATCCGCATTGGGCCAACGTGGAAAGGTCATAGCTCATCCTGCTCAACCGTCTATAAGGCCTGAGCCCCTGCAGTGGGGACGTAAAAGGGCTGATGATGATGTTAATAATAAAGAAAAAATTACAAAAGTAAGTAATCGCATCCCTACTGGCAGAAACCGTTCACGAGCATGACGCATAACGAAGCATGTACGAGCCGATATTCTACCAGTATTTTTATATAAAAATAAAACTACCGATTCGAAAATGACATAAATTTAATGAGACTCCTCGAGAATATAGCCTTTCAAACAATAAATCACTTATCATACTTTGCCCACTACCAACGAAAATTGGACAAAAAAATTAGATATTCAACAGAAATCACCCTTATGAAAAAAATAAAAAACAAAACTTTCATTCAACTCTCACAGATTCGCGCCAAAAACCCGACATACAGGTATATAACTTATATCATTCCTGGCCAAACCAAACATAATCAACTAAATTTTAACTTAACCGGTTAATTTTAACTATACTCACGGCCGGTTTCTGAATTAAGAAAAATAATTTATCAACTTCCCATAAAATAATAAACAAAAACCTGTTTAGAGTGACGTTAAATATTCAGAAACTGGATGGTAATCACTTAAAATTAAGTTAACAATCTACTTACTACTTATCAGTTGTTTGTGAATATATATTGTCTAAAATGTGAGCAAGAGATTTTCAACTTGTGGACGCTCTCGACTTCTGAGAGTGACTAAGCGCGCAAGCGCTTGCGTCTTTATCATGTTTATTTTATATCATATTGGTTCTTTATAATGGATAGAATAGATAGAAATATAAACTGACGGAAAATTATGCGTTAAAATTATTTGTTGCTGTTTATAATTTTTCCGACAGTACAATACGCGAGACATAATAAAAGAATGATGTCAACAACAGTGTAGATATACATTGTTTGGCACATATACACACCCATATAAATTACTAGCTTTTGCCCGCGACTTCAGCAACATTTCTAACGAATATTTATTCATTATAACGTGTAAAATACCTGAAATAATGTTTCATCCCCTATTTTATCCCCTTAGTGATGGATTTTATCAAAATCCTTTCTTAGGAGATGCCTGCGTCATAGTAGCTTTATGCATGCGGAGTCTCAGCCCGATCGGTTTAAAATTGACAAAGTTTCATGCAAACTTTCATCCCCTATTATAAACCCCTTCGGGGTAGAATTGATCAAAATACTTTCTAGGCGGATGCCTAGGTCATAACATCTACCTGCATGCCAAATTTCAGCCCGATCCGTCCAATGGTTTGGGCTGTGTGTTGACTATGTCAGTCGGCCACCTTTGAGTTATACATATATATATATGAGATATAACTCAACAGGTGGCCGACTGAGCATAGTCAACACATCTTTGAGCTCCGAACCATTGGACGGATCGGGCTGAAATTAGGCATGCAGGTAGATGTTATGACCTAGGCATATATATTATAGGCATATGATACTTTGTTGAATGAAAACAAGTTTTCCATAACAAATAGAACACTCCTCTTTTACTCGTTTTACACGTTCAACATGTTTATGTTATAATCATAAAGCTGGTTAAATACACGTGACGAACGGTTACACTTAACGTATTTTTGCTTACCTTTTGTGCTAACGTAGTTTTCTGTTCTGTAGTACCAAACTCGAAAAATTTTTGTATCACATAATTTCCAAAAACATCTGTCATTAGACTATAGGCGGCCCCGATTATTTCGTTGAATACCATTTGTTTCTCTTGTATTGTGGCTCTTTCTAATTTTTGTTGAATAAACCTAAAACAAAAAATAAATTAATGATTTACATTTATATAACATACCTATAAAATTTGTTTGTATTGTATTTCTAATAAGACTAATTGAAGAATATTTGTGCAAGTTTCTGTATCTTCACGCAAAAATTAAATTATTAAATTTTGATGAAACACATCATATCCCGGACTTAGCTCAATAGCTATAGTGATTTGGTAAGCGGCGCACAGACAGTGACAAATAGCAGAGCTAGTAATTTACAAACATGTTCAAATACAGGTTAATAATAATAATAATCCTTTATTTTAAAAAGGAAAGTCATTAATTTAAAAAATATAATGTTCCTAAAAGTTTGATTACTTTGTTCATAACAGGGTTCGCAAAAATCCGGTATTTATAATAAATATCAAAATATCCGATATTTATCCAAAATAATATATTTAAGAAAAGCTGCGATATTAAAGCTGCTAGTGGTTTAATTTAGTATTTGATTATTTAAATCAAAAGATTAAAATAAAGATTCGATTTTATTGTGAAGCATTAAATTCTAATAAAAAAATACTTCATATTACGGGGAAAACCCAAAATTTCTAGTGTAATTGCTTTGGGAAGACTTCGGACCAATGCTGCCAGCGTCACATTGGATAGGTTATTTTTTTATCTGAGACTCAATACTCAAACCAACAATAAATATTATAAATATATGTCAATCGATATATGTATATCATGATATATATCCGCAGATATTTATCAGCGAACCCTAGTTTCTAAACACTCTATTATTTTTCGACTTCAAAAAAATCTATAAAAATACAATATTGCTCAGACTTAAGTTGCAGTGTATTTCTTGAACATTTTACTTGATTTTAGGATAGCACACCCTAACATAAGATTCTTTATATAATTTTAGGATTTTGTACACTTAAATAAATATTTATTTTTAGCATGGAATTTCCCTGTAATTCGAGATAGATAAACCAGATAACATAGGACCATCGTAACAAAGTATTCGACGTCGAGTAATTTTTATCATTTTGTCAATCAGTGCAATTATAATGACCAGCGTCTTATTGTTATGAATCAAGATATCATTTCAGCTGACAAAGGTTTATAATATGATGCGGGTCGCAAAATATGAGAAATTTACCTAGAGCCGTGTTGGTCCTGCGAGAACTCGACTATGTGGTTAGCTAGGTCACGTAGTTGTAAGTTGGGGAAGCGGTTGTTGCGGAAGTCTTCGAGCAGGCGCGAGCGTCCCGCAGCTGGCTTGTCACCCACCAGGACGCCCACCCCACCCACGCCGCCACCCACGCCCACGCTCACCCCGCCCACTGCGCTCACACCGCCACCCACCAGTTCTGTGAAGCAAAATTAGTAACGGTATTTTTCCTGTATACAATTGAGGAACTTGCGGCTCTTCTTTGCGTGTGATTCTTTTAACAATCTTAGCACTATGAAGCAATATGTAAGAAGTATTTTCATTAATAGAGTGCGTAAGAAAATCTCAAGAACACGGCGAGATGTATACGCCGCGACGTGTTCCTCGGTTGTATACACAGCAGCACGTCACGTTAGTTTGGGCTAACTTAAATTTCCCGCAGTTGATTTTGAGCTCTCTTCTCAAATATTTAAGATATAAAATCAAAAAGATAAATGTTATAGCTATATGCTATGACTGTACATTGTACCTAGCAGTTTAAAGGGCAATTAAAACGAACTACATAAAAACATGGATTATATTTTAGGACAACAGCGTATACACATTTAAGTATAGCCAATAATAGGCGCGCAGACTCAATGCAACTTGCTACCCTAAGAAAAACACTACTTTTACTTTTGAATACTGCGGACATGAGTTTATGTTCAAAGGGAAAAACTGTTTTTAGAGGGCATTGTTAAGGTTCGAATAAATAGGAGCAAACATTATTTATTTGCCATACCATGGCCGCCCCCTAAAATCTACAGTTGCAAACACCAAAGACCAAATTATGATATTTAATTAAATAATTATTTACAAATTTAGTCATCCATATGACCAGTTATTCTATTCTCTTGTAGTTGGTATATTTCACAGTAATGTGCATGCGCGCATTAAAAAACTAGGGCGAACGTACCTATACCTATAGATTATCAATCACCTGTAGTTAGTTGACCATTTGTGACTATATAAGCGCTCTAATATTTGGGCTTTTTAATAGTCACATGGTTAATTGCGCTATAGTCGTAAGGCTGACAATGATTATGTTTAAGTCAATATTATTATTAATTATTATAAATAATCCTACAAATTGTGCATAACAAATAAACTGTATTGACAATATTATAAATTTTTCATAATATATGTGTATTACCTGAGATTGAACTGAGATTACCTGAGATGTATTAGAGTAATGAAAAAGTATTAAAAAGATGAGAAAGAAATACACATTATTGGATTCAGGCTTTAAATTTTAGTATTGAAAACACTACCCCTAAACCAAGGTAGGATCAGGTTCCGAGTTTTGTAGGCAGTTCTAACCTAACCTAGCCATTTTTGTTACATTAAATAAGTAATAATCAAGTAATGCATTTTGGCAACATTAACGCTTTGTGTTTTGTTTTGTAAGAGCATATTAAATTAATGATTTTAGTGAATCAGGCTAAAAATCACCAAAATACTTGTTTTAATAGGGAATATGCACATTTTTGGAAAATGTTTTTATATGATAATTTACATCGATATATAACTGTAAAAAAATACCCGGCAATAAATATTGATGAAAATAAGTAATAGCTACGAGCAGTTTAAACACCGGAATTATTGGCGCGCTCGTCGTGACGTCAAAGCACACGACTAGAGATATGACATTTTAAATTTATATGGATTTCGAGTGATTGATTATTGTTCAACTACCCAAATCGATTAACAACTAATCGATTTTTTTAAAGACTTTTTTCAATAAATCATTTAATTTACCAAATTGGTGAAATAAAAATAAAAGCCTAAACCATAATTTAAATTCTAATCAGTTGTTTATTTTGCGACATAATACATTGATGTTATTGCGTCGATGTTAACTTTTTGTACCAACGACATCCCTATACGTGTACATTTTCGTCACATCCGCTCTGACAAGAAGCATGGCGTTTAAATATTTTGAAGTTACCGCAATTATTTTGCACTTTTTAATAATTATTTTCAAGACGAAAACGAACTAATGTTGAAAAATATTTAGATAGACTTTATTCTAAAGCAATAACGATTGTAATAAAATATATTTAACCCTATTTTTAATCAGACGCATATTCCCTATTAAAGTGCTTATATGTGAAAGCAGTCTTAGGATTTCTAGCCACTATAGATTTCTTATGTGTTTGATATACACTGCACATGTTGTAAGAATCGACGACCACTCAAGATAATAATATGCTTACCAAAATCACTATAAATACGTAACTAATGATGCCTTTTTTGTGAGAAAATCGACGCTATCGTATGGCATTTTTATTCTACAATGGAGTTTTAACTTTCTGTAAATAAATAGAAACGCTCAGCTAACTGAACGTTAGACAAAAAAAAAATCTGTCAAATTTCGCCACTCGAATATAAGTCGCAGTAAACAACTAGTCACATATTTTGTAATAATAAGTTTTAGTTTAACATTTCTTGGGTTCTGAAAAAAAATAGGTCTTTCTACGGTAGATATCCATAAAAATCCTACAAGAAATCTGCAGTTCCTCGAACGAATTGATGTTTCTTTAAATACAAATACGTTTGAATTTTATAGTATGGTGAATACAATAGCTACAATAGAATATAAGCTATTATTTTGAGAAAATCTCTGGCTGAGTAAACAATATATAGAATTGTTAAGTATTTTAAAAATAACTAATAGAAAAGTACAAAATACACAATAACTATTAAATTAGTATTATAGAAAAAAATAACGTCCAAAATTTAATAACGAAAAATGAAAACATAAGATCATATGAATAAAGATTTTGTCACAGTAAAAACGGGGAATTATAAAATTTTCTCGATAGAAAAAATCACCAAGTTACCGTTAAAATTGATAAATATGCAAGTTTGATGTATTAGTTAAAAGTATAATATAAATAGCACTACATTAATATTAGACAATGCCAATGTTATGGAGTATCTGAGGCAACGAAAGAACCAGAACACCCAAACCCGAAACAATATACAAAAGTCTATTATCTACATTGACCCGACCGAGAATCAAAACCGAATCAATGAAATCAGCGTGAAAACCACTCGTCTACGGGAGTCGTCTCGCAATTGTGTTGGCAATTGATACCAAATAAGTCAGTCATATTGACGCGCACAGGCGCTTTTAATTAATCTTGTTTTCTACTTGTATTTTGTCTTGTTGTTTGGAAAACACATTAAGGGTTCACGGGCAAAATGTATTAAGGAACATCCCAACCCATATTGAGCAATACTGTACAAGTTTTGTAAAAAAAAATTAGTGAACTTCATACCGATAATACTTTTTAATTTGTATTAAATTCAAATCAAACAGACAATGTTTTTTAATTTATATAAAACTGTTTTTCCTGTCATCAATTGAGTACGTACTGTGGGGCGTTAGACGGTTTTAGATTGCACCTCAAATCTATACATTATATAGAATATTAAGTAATTTTGCACTAGAAATTATATCTTAATGTCAGTTAAACCATTTCTTCTGCATGAAATTTATTGAAACGAAAGGGACATATTATTCAAATGTGTAGTCTGCTCTGTCAGATTTCAAAATATATAAAAATTATATTTTTCATTGATAATCATTTTAAATATACAAAACTATCATGTCAATCCTACCACTTCAAGTGCAAAAAATAATTTTGATCGCTACTTTCGTCTATCGATCCAGCGCACATATATTCTAATAAAATTTGTTGAGTTTAGTGAAATTTAGATGTTTACATGCCAAAAAGTGACAAATCGATAAAAAGAAACAAATAATTCAACGAATAATGATAAAAAAAGAGGTAGCATTAGAGATATATTTAAAAATAAAATTTTTTGACATGATATAAGTATTCACTAAGAAAAAGTACCACGTCGGACTCGCACGTAGAGTTCCGTACCATTACCTATGAAAAACACAAAACAAAGAAGTTTGTTGTACGAGAGCCCCCCTTAATTAATTTATTTTAGATAATAAAACCTTTAAAAGACCGAGAAGACAACACACAATTCATTTTGTTTAGGACTTTTAAAGCATAGTTTAAAAGTTGTTTCAATTAGTGTGTCGATCAAGTTTTATCTTCTTGACAGTTTGAAGACGTTGAACGCCATATTATTGTTACTGGTACTGTCCTCTATTCCTATGATAGATTTTTATATACTCGAGCCTCTTTTAAAATTTGTATTTTGGCCGGTTAAATTGACCGATGTGCGCCGTCTGGCCGCGAACCAAAAACAAATGACTATCTGTCGACCCGCCCCGCCAGATGGTTAATTGGTAGGGGTGCGTTTATTGGCGTATATCAATTTAAATATAGAAGTAACACCTATAGCGTTATGGTTTTAAATAATCTCCATGGACTAATCTAATGTATGAATAAATTATTATAAAACAAAGTCGCTTGCCGCTGTTTGTACTCGGAGATCTTTTAAAGTACACAACGTATTTTAATGTGGTATCAGCAATATACAGTGATCCAAGAGGAAGGTTTTATATGTATTATACATGGCCACACGGGCGAAGCCGCTGGCAGAAAGCTAGTTTAGATAATAATAAGATAGATTTTATACTGCATCATAAGGTGCTGCACTTATACATCAAACAAAATGTACTTAATTTATTAGAAATTAAAAGAATCGTTAAATACAACTTTTGTACATCCAATAGCGATTCCGGATTTTTGTAATAGTAATTACAAGAAAAACACAATGATTTCATCGGTGACACTATTGAAGCCAAAATAATACGAAAAAACTGTAACCCCCCAAAAAAAATGACAAAAAGACCAAAAATCTCATTATAAACAAGTAGGAGATATAAACATTATTAATTATAATAATAATAACAAGTAACTTTTACATAATCAGAAACGACTGACAAATATGATTATTAAATGATAAATAATGTAAGGGTTAATATGCAAGATTTATATGAAGTTAAGTGATTATTAAATTTACAACTCCGAAACCAATGATTTCTACAAAAACTGCATCTCTCACCTGAGATTGTGCCCACTCCGCTTAGTTTGCTGAGTAATGAGGATGAGGAGCCGAACATTCCATTGCTTGTAAGCCCTTGGGCTAAACTGCTTACAGCTCTGAAACGTTCATAGTAAAAGTTCTAGATAAGATGATTTGAAGTTTTTCCAAGTGATATTGTGGAAGAGAATAAAACATGCTAACACTAAATTATTCATACTGTACAATATTAATAAAACTTCATTATACATAGCTATAATTTACTAAATATTTACAATATACAAACGGATCATGATTACTCAGTGCTGACGACATCATTCCCACATAAAGAATATTTTCATGCATATTTAAATGTTTACAGATTAATATCGTTTGAACTACCAAAGTTGTCACACAAGATTTTGTGTAAATAAATCGGTGAAATCAGAATAATAATAAATTGCCATATACATAACTTAGTGGTTTCAAAACAAGCTTTGGCCCTTTTAAGGTGAACTGGTTTTCACGAGTTAGTATGAATAAAAAAATACGTAATTAGTAGCGACTAATCACGGAGGTGGTTGGGACTATTCTAACCGGGCGTACAGTATTTAAATAGAGGCAGTGTGGGAACGTCGTTGTCGCTAGTGAGTATTTGGTTGCGTTGGTGCACCTGTACTTGGCAGTTTCTGCACCGGGTGCGGCGGAGACGGGTCGGAGGCCAACGGGCCCGAGCGCGGCGCCGAGGGGCGGCGACAGCGGCGAGGGTCCCCATTTGCGGGCATACTCCTGCAGCGCCGCCGCCGGCCCACCGCCGCCAAACTCCAGAGAGTCTCGTCGCGCACCACCAGCGCCTGCAACATGACATACCTCTGCGCTCCACACTCCGCTCTATGCACACTCCACTCCCGAGACCGAGCTCCGTACTCTCAATCCCCTCACGTACTCTCTACCTTCTGTACACGACCAACCTTGCATAATTAGTATTTTTCGTCTATGTACAAAATTATAGAAGTACGTAAATATTTTTATACACTACATAAAATTACATACTTGCGGTCGTAAGTATATATTTAGATGCGTAATGTGATTATGCAGTTGATTTAGAATATTATGCAAGACGTAACAAAACAATCTATATGATGAATCAAAAATGTTTTGCCATTGTTTTTCAGGTGCCATGTTTGCGCCATTTATTTTTGAAAATTATATATGACTGATTAGTTGAATAATAAGAAGTTGGTTTAAAAACACAAAATTAAAAAAAATACCTTGACAACGATCAGTGAATATTTGTGAATTTAGCGATGTTTTATTAGCAGTTGCAGTTAAATTTTTACGGGCATATTATATTTACTCGGATGAAAATTTTATATTGTAGAATATTAATTGCTAGAAATATATTAATGAAAATGCTTCAACCAACATCTTTGGGGTGTGAGTCTCATCAATAGTTTGTTTTGTTATGATATTTGAAAAAAAAAAACACATGACGCATGCGCCGCACCATATATACAAATTTCTAATGTGGCTTTTATAAATGTACAGTAAAAATATTTACAAGTTACTTTAACGGATTCTTTAATATTTTACTAACTACTTTAGGATTATTATTAAAACCAGATATAAAGCATTTTGTTCTATCAACAGAAAAAAAAAAGTTCTTATGAAATTACTTATACAAAAGAAATAGAATTAGGTGATAATATAAAAGTATACCTATAAAAGTATAAAAACATACATTGATGACCTATGCGTTAGCTTCGTAGAGGTGTCGTTTTAATCGTATACTAATAACTTTGTGTTGTTATTTATAATTTTTCAATATATCAAAACAACAATTCATTACCGATTAAGTTTATCCTAAAATTATCTGATGTAGTTATTCCTTTTTATATAATAAAAAATATTTTTTCATCTTCACGACAATTTTTGAGTTTCTCGATTCAATTTTCTTACGGATATTCAATGCATTTAAATTGAAAGTAAAATCGTAAATAACTATGCAGTTGTAATAAAACAAGATGCTCACTATAGTGCGATAACGAGTGAAATTAATATGTAAGTAAAGTCTTAGGGGTAATTAAAAACACCTGTGTACAACATGAATGTTTTCACGAAACTGTTGTTTGTAGAAATGAAATAATACGAAGAAATAAGTTTATGAAAAATTAGAATAATATTAAATATAATAAAGCCGCTGTATTTTGTTCGTTTGATATGAAACGAGGTTCGGTGGCCTGTAGTTTAGATCGAGTAAAACAATAACTATCATTATATATTTGTATGTGTGTGTAGAATTCATGCATGTGTTACGGTTTTGAGATGCACTGCTTATCGCAACCTGATTAAACTAAAAGGTCATCCAAAGAGCAGCGTTTGCGTAAAGCGACTATTTCATTTGGCCGGTGTATCGTTTAAACATTTTTTTGATTACTTTTCTGAGTCATTCATTGATCAATCTAATGACATAGTGATTCATTTTACCGTGAATTATGGAAAATTATAGCGGAGAGCTGCTCTTTTTGCTATGTGCTAGTAATAAATTAAATCCAAATGCATTTTCGTTGTCGTTTGAAGAAAAAATTTAAACAGTTGCAAAGGGATAGTGTGTGCCCGGATTATTGTTAACAAAAAAGTTAAAACTGGCTTAACTTACATACAAATAATTTAACAACCAGATTTCCTGAAGTTTACAAATTACGAAAACTAATATAGTTACGACACCATTGAGTAGCGTGTTAACCAAAGGATTTTTTTTTTTATAAAAAGAACTTTGAAAACGACGTTGCCATTTATTTCACGACGAAAAGTATACAAATCAGTTGTATGTAAAGACATAACAATATATTTCAATATATGCTTATAAAACATTTGGCGAAATAATTTGTAATGCATCCCTGATCAACAGATTACTTTTCAATAATACCTATCTTTATCATTCTTTTGAATTTACATATTTTGTTTGAATATTTTTTTTATGAAATCGGCAATTGAAATTTGTTAAAAAATTGTTCGGTTTCTATCGTAATAAAAGTTGTCAATCGAATAAATGATATAGGTATCGGAAACTGCTTCGACTCTTATACATGAAAATGTAATTCATGCGTTGATGTCTTTTTCAGGTAATATTCTTTAGTACAAAATAAGAGATAAAAATTCTTTGAAATTTGAATTACATTGTACAGTCAACTGCGCGTACACTGCACTATACAGAATTGTCAAATTTCCCCACTCGGTTTCATACCTTAATACATTAAGGGTCAAAATCCATTGCAGAAGTGAAATATTGTGATAACCAGACGTGCAGTCGTATGTACTAACAAACGGTATTTTTTATATTTAACATGATGAAAAAGGTACTTTTTTAAAATTAAAATAGTATATATTGATATTAAGTACTTTATCAAATATATACATTAGACCGTTACATACCATGAATAATATATAGCAATGCTTCATAATTAACATTTTTTTTGTATTTTATAAATAAATAGTTTATTAATATCTGACAAATGATATACAAGTAACAGCATGTCAGCGATTTATACTTTCGAAGATATAGTACTATGTTTGTGGAACTGCTTCTAGTCGGTCGAAAACGCTCTGTACAAATCATTAGGTGCATACACAGTGCCACGACGTGAAAAACGTATGGGTGTCTGTCTGGTCTGGGCAATCTTTGTAATATCTTTGTTATTTGTGTGTTTATGAATATAGCTGTTATAATAAAATTTGTAAAGATTTGTGTAATTAATTTAATGCCATACATATTATAGCAAAGTTCTGTAGTATATTTTCCCTACTGTTTTCAAGTTTTCAAAGTGTAATATTTTCCAAATTATTGTCATAAAATTTATTTTATTAAATATTTCTAAGTTGAAATGGTCCGTATTTTCCGAACATATAATAGGACACCTGTGTTTTCACTTGTAGGATATAATTTATCGCATTTATCGCATTGAAAAATATCCAACTAGTCACTTTTAACATTGATAACAACGTAATTAATCGTAAGCTTAAAAATACTTAGTATACAAAAGAGTACATAAAACATGTCACTAAACAGCTTGTCAACAGAAACAACATATCGATTAAATTAATTTTGAATTAATTATAATTAAATATCAGAGTACCTATTGTATTATATATATTTTATTACCTATTGCCTATTGTATAAAACCGGCTAAGTGCGAGTCAGAATCGCACACGATTATTTTATTTTTTTTGTTTTTGTTGTTACATAGGCAAACAAAAATATATAATCTGTGGAAATTTCAGGTGTATAACTTTCACGGTTCATAAGATACCGAGAGCGAAGTCTTAGTTAATTAGGTTCCCGATTTACCCTTTGAGTACGGAACCCTAAAAACACACTTATACGACATTCAGTTATTTTAGTAAAAAAATTAAAATCGATAATATGTAGCAGATTACTGATTTTACATTATCTACTTATCGTAATATGTCACTGTCACATGAGATGCCTCATGGTTTATCTCCTTTCGTCTTCAGCATTTAATACTAATTGCGAATTTTCTAATTAAAATGTACTACAAAAAATTAGGACATCGCATAAAATGGGATAAAACTTTTACGATTAGCGAAATATGTTATATTTTATGCTTTCATGATTAATAAACGGACTCTTTTATTTTTATGGTGAACGATATAGCAAAATGTGATATTTTATCTATTTAATTTATTAGTGTTCGATGCAGTGAGCATGACTGTGAGCTAGTAATGTTTAATAGGAAAGGGAGATAGCGGTGACTCACCAGGTTGAGGTTGTTGCGGCTGCGGTTGCGCGCCGGCGGGCGGTGCGGCTGTGGCGGCTGGATGTGCAGGCGCCGGTTGATACTGACGTGGGGCGAGAACGCCGCCTGGCGACACCAACCGCAGCGGTGTACCATTGCGACCGCCCATTACCAGAGAACCGGGATCATAGTACGGTATCACATATTGTCCTTGACCGTTCACCTGCTGCTCCCCCTGCTGGGGAGTCAGCGGCCTTCTTGGCTGTTGCGCTTGTTGCTGGGCTGGTTGGGCAACTAGCCCAGGATAGACGCCCCAAGGCGCTGCCACTCCATAGTACGGGGGTACACCCGCTATCAGCGCGCTTACGTATGGTGCGCCTTCTTGGCCTGCATTTATAACATACGGAGCTTGAGTGAAAGCTTGTTGAGCAGCTAGCTGCTGTTGTATTTGAAATTGTTGTTGTTGTTGCTGCTGTAGTAATTGTAATTGTGCCGCTGCCGCTTGACCGCCCGCTGCCGCCGCTTGCTGTGACCGGAACAATTGCTGGAACAAGGATAAGATTTTTTAACTGTGGATTTCTTTTTCATTGTAATATTACGGATACACATTTACACTTTCCTCCCAATTTTAGATATAATCAAATATTACGACATGAAGACCAGGAGTCATATATCGATTTAATTAATAGAGAATGAATGTGTTATTTATTGTTTTTGGTCAGCAATTGCCGGCGTTACTCGAGGCGATTCCCATACAGGCCACTAATTAACGTACTCGTTTAAAAAGTTAATAACAAGCCCGCTCGCTGTCTGCCGCATCTGCTACTACCGACAGCATAAATGCAATATCCGTTTATAAACAGATAAAATGAATATTGGTTTTATGTTAAAACAGCACTAGTGTATTTGTTTTCCTTAAACAATTTTAAGGAACCCTTAAAATTGTTTAAGGAAAACAAGGAAAAAAAAATTTTAACTTTAAGGAAATAAAGTTAAAATATAACTTTTATTTATTTACCAAACAACATTAGACACAAACAGGTATTTGGCATTGTAAATGACATATGTATATTTAGATAATGATGTGAAGATACAAACAACATTAGGATATTATGTAATAATAGCCGAAATACTTTCGTTACTCGCGACCGGGCGTCTCAAGTATTTTGAATGAAGTGAATCAGCTTTATTCGATGGCGTGTGATGTCATTAGTAGCGGACTCTACCTGTTGGAACTATTTGGCGCCGCTCCAGAGCGGAGTGTGCGAGATCTGTAAACATCATGAAACAGGCCACCAACGCCGTTCGTGCCGTTGCGTCTATTGCTAACACCTGTGCGCAGATCCAACACTCACTGATTCATCACAAACCAAATTACCTACGTGTAAGCTCCCGCTTGTTTATTTTTGCTAACAAATGAGTCTGCATATTTTTACACTAATTCTTCAGTTACCTAGCAACTTTACCAACATTTATAATACGTTGTACACACCCGGTTACCAGATTAACATTAGTGAAACTAACACTCACTTTAATAAATTTTTTAAATAAATACATTTTCTAACTAAAATGACAATCACGATTTTGGCACAATCTACTATTCTTTTTTTAATACATAATCGTTTGAAAAAATATGATTATTTAATGAAAAATGAATTATTATTGCACGCAGAAAAGCTTAAAACAGATACCAGACCACCATCATCATAATTTTAATTACAACACGCCAGCATTCCCCGGGTCTATTTTATTTTTCATTAGCTAATTGACACAAAATGATTATCTAATGTCATAACTTCGGCGTTGGGATAAATCTGAAGTCTCGCCTAGTGGGATCTCGCGTTTGATCTCAGATCGAGTCGCGCTTGCCCGGAAGGCAATTTAATTCATCGAGCTCGTGTAATGTTGAACTTGTGTTGGGGTGCGGTCGGTGCACGTGCGCAAAACAGAGCAATTTGACCGCAGCAGAATTAAGTCACCCGTGTGGCTGAGCTGGAAGATGCGGCGGAGGAATCGTCTCGCATTCAATTAGACGCTCAGTAATCCGGCAGCGGCGAGCTTCGATACCAATTACGAGGTTATTAGTGAGACGCTACGTGTGGCTCAGCTCTATTAGACGTGATCATTTACCTGATCCCTATTTCATACATTACCTATTTTCTTTTTTTTAACGCAAATTGAATGATGGTCATTGTTATTCGATTATTATTCTAATTTAAATTATTATTTATACACAATTTTAATAGATTACGGATCCTTAGAAGTCACGAAGTTCAATTGAAATTATTAATAATACTTTAATACCTGTAGAAAGTATAATACAAAGTCGCTTCCCTCTATCTGTAAGCTGAGATCTTTTTAAGCCACACTACGAGTTTTGATGCGATTTTCAACAACAAATATTCAAGAGGAAGATTTAAAGGATGCAGGACCACACAGGCGAAGCCATTGGCGGATACAATATAGAGATATAAATGCTGTACTGACATTTTTCTTAATATAAGGTAGATAATACCTTAGTCGGGCGATATTGCAGTACAATCCATCAACAGTTACAACGGCATATAGTTGCCGAGTCACGGAGCAGGTGAGTAGTAGTTGGACATAGCGCACAGCGCAGCCGCGAAGCGATGCGGCGTCGTCCTATCAGCTGGTGTATTTATTATTTACGAAGAAAATGATGGGAAGACAAACGGCGAAATACTCTCGCGAGGATCACAACACTTCACCCGTCGTCGACAAACAAATTACGGGACAAAGCAATCAATTATGAGAACAGAATGTAGTCGTAGCACTTTGATCGAATGCTACGTCAACAAGAAGCTTTTAGTGACTACGACGGGGTGCTACGTGCTTCTTGTAAACCAAAGCTTTATGTCCCTTTAAAGTGTTATTTCTCAAATAGGATGGAGTTCAGCAAATTGAAGAGAACATTTTAGATGGTAACGAATTAGATTGTCTATCGAAGAGTATAAAGATAATTTGGTAAAATCGGAATCGACAGGGCCGGGAGTCACAACGAGATTATGGGGATAACCAGCGTTGTCGCGTGCTTAGCCGCCCCGCTCGTGGTTGGCGTATCTTGCTCTAACGAGTTTATCTGCCCTGCGGCTTGTGGCTGATGCTCATCGCTTTCTTTATTAACTACCAAACGTAATAAAGTTTTACCGGAAACAATAAACATTGCTTGAGAACTTTATAACATAAAAATACATATAACTTTTTCGCGAACATTTATAAAGAAAAAATGTATAACGCATTTAAATAACGTGAATTCGATAAGAGTAGGTAATATTTTTATTTTATGAGATTTCTAAATTAAAATAAAGTTGCTACTTTGAAATTAATTGTTGATTGAAACCTAAAAGTACAAAGTGTCTTTAGATTTTCAGCGAAAGGAGGCAAAGGGCGAGGGCGGGTCTGGCTGGGCGGAGCGAGGCCACGCCCGCCTTATCCACGCCCTGCCGTAATTTTGACTTAGATTTTGTGCTAACATCGATATCATTGTGATAAAACAAAAAAAAAATAGTTTTCAATTAAATTATTTTACAACATTATTACAAAAAAGGTTTATATGTTTGTGACTGTAATGTAAAAATGTAAGATTTATAATGGGTCTTTAAAATCGAAATGTTAGACACAATTATGATAATTATCACCTGTTCTTAGATTTTAGAGTTATAATTTTACTAAGCGGGGGTTTTTTATTTAATTACTCGCAAACTATGACGACTATTTCATAAGTGCTTTTGCATTCATAATTCTATATTGATATTTCACTTACTACGAATATATTTGAAAAATATTAGGACCGTTTTATTGAAATAGATCCTTTGTATTGTCATACAATTTTCATGGTTTGATGATTTCGAAAGAAACTTTTTTCACATGGTTTCTATGATGTTCTTCTTTTAAAAAATGTGGGACATTTAAATATTGACTTTCAATTGTTTTTGTTATTCAACTTAGACAAAAAAGATTGTCTAAGTTGAATAACAAAAACAATTGTGAATACAAGTTCCGTCCCGGAAATAAAGCGGCAGAAACAGCCCGCAATATCAATGTTGCGTCTGGAGAGTGGTCTGCTAATGAATGCACCGTGCGATTTTGGTTTAAACGCTTTCACGTGACGGAAACTTTTACTTGAAGAACGAGCCACGAGGAAGACCGCCCGCACATGTGAATAACGATGAATTAAGAGATGGTGGAAGCCGATCCTAGTCAAACTACCCAGGAATTAACGGCATGGTTTAACGTTACCTTACCTTACAATATTGACTTATTTGCGTCAAATCAATAAAATAAAAAATGTGAAAAGTAGGTGCTTCATGATTTGACTGATCTGCAGATAGAAACGCGTGTTGAAACTTGTGTTGCCTTGTTGAATCGGTATAGAGATGAAGGAATATCGGATCGAATTGTGACATATGATTAAAAGTGGATTCTTTATGATAACCGTAAAAGAAAAATGCAATGGCTGACCCCAGGTCAAACGCCACAACAGTGTCCTAAATCAAAACTTACCAATAAAAAGGTAATGGTAACTGTTTGGTGATCTCAGCTTGTTTCCTGCGATCTGGTCAAGCAATAATAGTAGATTTCTATTCCGAGCAATATTAGCAAAACTAGCAGTAAAACAGCCCCGACTTGTGAATTGATCTTCACCATTATTGGTCCATGATAACGCGAGACCTCATACAGCACGTGAAACCGTTTTGACCCTTCAGGAACTGCAGATAGAAACCATTCGTCATCCTCCTTATTCTCCAGACCTTGCTCCAATGGACTACCATTTCTTTTTTTTTTTTTTGATTTGGACAATTATCTACGTGAAAAGTTTTCTTCCCAGGAAGTAGTACAAAATGTTTTCATAGTTTTTGCAGTCTAGATCCTCAGAGTTCTATCGCAAAGGCATAAATGAACTTCCGCAGCAATGTATTAATAATAATGGTAACCCCCATAGCAGAAGGGTTTTGATCTGTCTGCGACAGATTATGAAAACCTGAAAATAAAATTCTGTTTCTGCTAGTGTAATTTTTTTATTTATGTAAGACTGCCGAACTGTCTGCAGACCTACTCGGCTGTCTGCGACAATGTCGCAGTGTCGCTCGTTGTTCTGCCTTGGGGATGGTAACTATTTCGATTAAATAAATTTGTTAAAAATAAACAATTTTGATTTTCAGTACAAAACGGCAATTTCATACTTTAACCCCTATTATCATAATATATACGTACCAGACATGAAATTTCCTTTATGTCCTATATTAGTAGGTTAAAAAAGGAGATGTGTACATAAATATGATAAACTGTAATGAATACTATATTAAACACTGATTATAGAATATTACCTGTGTAGATTACAAATGAATTAAGGCACACGGTTGTATTTTATCGAAGAGATGTTTAAGGAGGATAGATATAAATGTGTATTTATTTATTGGTCACAGTGGTAGCGGAGCGGGTGTGGCCGGACGATGCTTTTATCAAAATTAGCAGGCGCGCCCGTGCTGCGCCGGTCGCACCCCACTCGTAAAAACATCACATCACAGCACTGACGAAGGCTTCGCTACCACACCTAGCGGTCGCACCCTAATAGCTCACCCACCCTTAGGGATACTTCATCACGACGTCTCACAAAATACTCTGTACAGTCGGCTTTACAAAGCAAATGTAACCCCGTCCATGTAAATATGTCCTTTTTAAATCCTTAGCGACCATTTAGGGAATAAACGGCACATAAATGGTTTAACGCAAGTCAAAACAGTGTCCTCTAGAATAGTAATAAGGCTATACATCATCGCGAGAAAGAGATATAATAGGATCATTGTTCATTTTAGCCAGGCACGTACACAACTAAGAAATGAAATAAAAGCAAACAAGTTGCCATGACGATATGGCAAGTTTGTTGAAACGGTAATGTCTAGCGTAGACTTTTCATGTCACGGGTTACATTCATTTTGCAGTGATATTGAGTTCATAAAAAACAAAAAAATATATATAATCGTTTCTTAAATTTTCATGCAAACTGCAAAATTATGTCAACAATAAATTGTTGATTTGTTTGTATATGAATAAGCTCCAAAACAATTGGAACTATTTTAAATATCCATAGAAGCTGATATAGGTACAATTTACGTGGGCAAGTCGCGGGAAAACAGCTAGTTATGTATGCTGAATTGAACGCATCAATCGCATCAAACTCAAAAAGCACTGTAAATATAAACCGACTGAAACAATCACAGGCGAATATTTAAGCCGTGCATTGAAAGAAACGAAGATCGCAATACGCGGAGGGGCACAAAAGTGCTGTAAAATTACTTTTAACCAAGATCACATTACTGTTGGTGATATTTTTTTTTATATAATTTTGACAATATATTTTCTAAATAAAAATGAATAGTTTTTTGTCGATACAACAATAAAAATGCCACTAAATTAGAAACCATTGCGCTATTTTGCAACAGAGCTCATCCTGGGTTTCGATTTGGAGTAAGTAGACCGTTTAGTTAGACGGATGATCAGAATGGTAATGGTCCTAAATCAATAGTCGTAATGTCGTTGTGTCACACGTATGTTGGTCAACATGTATGTAGCTATTCCTTTGGCTGATCTGTATTCTGTTTACGATACAAAACAATCTCGGGCACAATTTAATCGTTTATCTAAGAATTTTATAGTGCATAATATAATATAGTGCATTTCTTTTTATGATATCTCCTGATCTGCATTGAGACTAATACATACTAATAACAAACGCAACTTAAATATCGATTTACTAAAAGTATGAAATAATAAGCATTAACTTATTTTTGTAAAATTATTTCATATGATAAAGTTGTATTAATAGGGCTTGCCTAGGTACGATTATTTTAATCCTTTATATTATACGCACTGAAGTGACAAAATTTTAAGATAAATTCACTCGCAACGATTACAATTAACACGAAATAATAATTACTCATATTTACTTGATCAATCTGAAAAGTTAATAAATGTGATATTAAAAGATATTTTGATTTTTTAATTAGGTATGCAATGAACTGCTTTTAAATGGCCATAGGTATTAGAATAGAGCTTCATTCCAACGGCGAAGTATTTCAAGATACAGGTAAATAACAAATAATAAAACAAAAAAGGCGTTTGGAACATAAAACCCTAAATTGGTTTTTACTTTTAAGGTACGATGATTCATGAAAACGTGAATTTGAATCAAATATAAACAATATGTGGAAGTGGTGCAAATGTGAATATATTACAGCGATATGTGAACAAAGTAATAACACGCACGCAAGAAATAGGCGGTGGTAGCTTATACCGGTAGAGAAATAATTCTTTCAAACCCAATAAATTCACATTTATACACTTTAATTTCAAGCAACAACCAAAAACATAATACGGGTTTGAATGTGTAAGTGGATAATGCCTTCCCCTATCATAAAGATATCAAATAATGAATAAATTATGCCTCTACATATTACTCTTTAAAATTACTTGCTCAACCAGAATGAAAGGGTTTTATAGAGTACGGTATTTTCCTCGCGTGATGGTGTAGACAGAGGCGCAAGACGCATGGATAACGATGTCGTGTAATGAAGTGGCGCGTTAGGACCTGGGTAGCACCTTCGCCCCAATTTCTCGCTAACCGGTCCCCTAACATAACGACCTACACGGGCGTTTCACTAACCTACCTGTTTATGTAGTGAATATATATTATTAGTTGATCCAAGGACGGTCTGACTAAATGACAGCAATTTATTTCAAAAATCAAAAGAGAAATGTTTATTGTCTAGCATCCGGAGATAAATTGTAACTTAAAAATACAATTTGCCAGTGTCATTAAAATCTGAAAGTCCATTTTCTGAAAATAAACGAAAGGAGAAGGAGCAAAGTCAATGTAATTATCTCGCTTGACGTGGTGCAGGGATAACAAAATAGCTTTTTTGCTTCTTCATTTATTTTTGGACGGAATATACACACTTAAAGTATTGTTACGCGAGTCCAAATAAAAAAAATCAAATGGTAAATTAACCAATAATCAATCATACAAAAATGTGAAGAAAATTAAACAAGACTTGCAATTTTTAACAAAACTGTAAACTTTAACTAGTTAGCGTGAAGTGCGTCGACCTCTTAACGGTATCGTGATTCCAATTCGTTGAATACACATTTTCTTAGTGGTTACGCGATATGTTAAGCTTACTGATATTCACGACGATATTGCATTGGAACAGGTAAGTGAAAATACAGAAAGTTTTTTTTTTATTTATAGCTATGAAAATCTCTTTATTTATAGCTATGATCATTAAAAATAAAATATCTAAAAATGGAGCGACTATTAATGGTTATTTCTTCATCGTAGTGTTAGTTAAGACAAAGCCAACTCTTGGTAATTTTACAGCTAAACTTTTATTCGTTTGAGTTGTCTTAACGGTAAAATGTTGACTCAAATGTGATTTTGACAATGTATCCACATAAATACATTTTAGTATTTTAAATATTCACTACACTTTTTTGTCTTATCATACGAGACAACATTTTGTTGTTTGTCCGCATAATAACGGAAAAGATACCGATATTTATTTCGTTAATTTATTAGACCATAAATATGGATATTTTTTACCCGTTACTTAAATATATGTTTATTTACATTTCAACTTAACGAAAATACCGCTATGTGTGGACTATTGTGAATTTGGTTCAATTAATCATATGAAAATCTAAAAATATTTTAAATAATTATATTAAGAAAAAGAAATTAAGAGATTTAAGATATTTATCAATATAGCGAGTGCAAAATTATTATTATTATTACTCAAAGTTGATTTTTCTCTGAAAAATTATGTGAAAACCATCAAAAAGGCAGTCATGAGAGTGGAAATAATTTTATACCATCGACACTCGTAGTCTATAATTTTTAACCTATGAGAAACGTTTATCTATTAACGAATAAACAACAGATATATCCTCAAAAATCATTGGAATCACATCCTTGTGTAGCAAGTATAAGCTCTGTCGTCGATACACCGGTGAAAGTTTTCATACAAATAAATAAAACGCATAAAATAAGAGAGAGGATGAGGTACCAGATCGCGAAGACGACAAGATAGTCGAGGTGAACGCACGCACAAAGTGTGTCACGCGCCGGAGAAATACTTCAAGAGTGGATACCGTTAGTGGAACGCGGTCAAGCCGGCAACAGCGGTACCGGTGGTGACCGTGCTGCGACAGCGCTGCTATAACTACCTTTCCTTTCTTGACCTAGTATCAGAGCTTCTTTTGTTTATTGAATGATAAACAAACTGGATTATTTGTTGATATGATTATTTCAATGCAATGTTTATCCAAGGACCTAAATATTTTTTTAAATAATAATTTCTACCTAACATTTCTCTTGAACCAATATTTTCTATTGAGAAAACAATATTATATTGATAAAAGCTACAAATCACTTAAGAAAACTCTTTTAAGTAGTTGTAATGTAAAAAAAAATGCTCTGTGAAGGTAATACAAGGGTGGCGAGGTGCAGACGGCGGCAGCGACTTGTCTGAGCGTGGTAATCGGAGCGTTTCTAATACCCACGCTTTGACTCGGTTTCACCGCACGCTTCTTGCCTCCGTTCTTATTTATTCGTTTTGCGAAATCGTTTGAAATATGATAACGTTTACTCAAGTATCAGGTGATTCCAAGTTCTCACGAAACTTCACACAACTTCTTGCAGCTGGTTCTGTTAGCTATTGAATTTCTACTATTATATCTAACGGGGTTCGAAGCCCGAGACCGGCATAGTTTACACGAGAAAACATACCGCGATAGTTCACCATGCATAGGATGTATGTACCTACTTAGTTGAACATGAACTCTGTGCGTTTGGTTATATTTGCGTTAGTTATTATATCAGTAAATTTTCAATAGTCACAAATGTTTTTATGTAATCCGCCTTTGTTGTGATGAAGGTGGTGCATTATGATAATGCCGTACTAGATGCGGACAAATGAATATTTTTCAGGATAATTACGGTGATTGTGGCAGGTAAGGCGCGAAGCACAGAGCCCGTCGCGGCGCTGCGGCAGGCGCAACAATTTGCATCACAAATGCGGGTGGCGGCCACGATGCGCTTCGCCCTTCGTACAGCCCGGCACGGGCGGCGGGGCGCGGTGCCCACCCGCGGTACACAATGTCACAATCAACGTCGCGTGGATGCTTTTTGGTCAACGTGTGATTGCATATTGTACCTAGGTATATATTATCAGATAAGCCATTTTAAATACTTATACCCGAACTAACATCCTAAAGGCTAGCTATCATTAATGTTTAAAAAAAAAAACGAAAAATTAGGACCTTCTGATATTGACATGTTACGAATCTTTGATTATTCTGAAATAGCAATGCAACCAGTTGCACAACGGTTCATTAAAATTGTCATTAGTTACAAGCGACATTTACCATACAAATTTTACATTCATAGAGCATAAAGTCGTCTTTATATCTTAATGGATATTTGTGCAACCGACCATTAGTCATGACTAGTCATCGACATATGTCGATTGTCGCAACGCAAGTTTGTTTAAACTAAATTTGTGAGAATATTTTTATCATCTCAGTTTTAAAATACCTCAAGATACATTGAAATGCCTTTATTTTGCACTAGTCGATTCCATTTTTAATTATGCCCTCGATTGCTATGGCTAACTTGTTAACAATAAAACAAAAGCTTAATTGTAAGGGGTATTATAGAAAATTGTTTAAAATATGTAAAATACTTCCAGCTAGTTTGAAACATAAATACTTATTACCGACTAATCATCATGACAGTGGACAGCATGCCTTACAAATGTGAAATCACAAATTAGTGACACGGTCGGTGTCCACGGGTAAATATGGAGTAGGTACCTAAGGTAAGTAATTATTACGGTGATAGAACAATAAAAAAGCGCCTACCCTTTGTACTAAACAGTTTCCTGCGGACATTAGACAAGGGATTTTTAAAAATAAATTTTGCACAAAATTAAGAAATGCCGTATGATTTTTTTTTAGACGAGGCTCATGATCCGACAATAAAAGCGTTTATACGGTTTTGCTGGACTAATTCTAAACAATATTGTATCTTATACTTTATAATATGTATGTAATACTTTAAGCATAAATAATTTAAAAAATTATAAAAATAACAACAACCAATGTACGAATAAGAAAGCGGTAAAGCAGCTGGTTAGCCATAATACATAGTATACTGAACTGAATTAATGGATACCTTAAACGTGTTTTAATCATATAGAATAATTTTCCATCCTTGAGGACGAAATATTTAAATAAACAAAGGCAGACTCAGGATACAATGAATTAATAATAACGAACACTTCCCGCGACGCATGATGACGGCCAACACGAGTAGCGCATTAGACGCCATAGAATTAAAAAAAAAAACTTCTAATTATGTACGAAAGTTTTTGCCGTTAGAAAGAAAGCAAAATATGGAAAGTAACACTGAATTCAACTTATAACTTCAGTGAACAAATTTAAATTTAATTTATTATTTAGGGGAATGCTGAAGAAACGAACTTTTTATATAGAAATGGTGCAATACAAAACAATCTCTCACCGTAAATTTTCCTTCGTTCTGTCATGGATAAAAAAAATATGGAGGACTGATTGGTTACATGAACAATGAAGAAAGATCCTTAACTTATGAGTATCTAACGAGCTGTTAAACAATAAGCTTAAAATGATGCAACAGAAAAAGGGTGCAAATGAGGGTCAGTCACGAAGTTAACAAATAGACTCCATTTGTTGAAACCCAAGAAAGAGGTGAAATATCACGACTATCTCGGATAAACGATGCAATCACACGCGGATTTAAGAGGATTCTATCTTTTCCACCATCATTTTAATTTTTTTACGTTTGTTTCCATAGAAAAATCTTCCTGTTAGTAAATAAAAAAACTGGGACGAAAATTATAGCACTTTCTAAGGTTTTGATAGTCTCCTGCCTTATTAATTTGATATCAGAAGAGCTTTTAAGACGCCGTTAACTCTGGCACTTTGTAGATGAAAATTAGTTAAGACGATATAAAACTGGGGTGACTGGTGCCGAAATAAATCTTCTCTGGAAATGACTCTGTTCGAAATTAACCAGGGTGTATGTGTACGGTGTGAAGCTTTACCTCCGAGCAATGGACGGTAAAGCGACTCTTAATTAAATCAAGTGACACGTCTCGTCGTTCGGTTACCTCAATCACACGACCCCAATAAAGCCCATGTACCAACCAAACCAAACTGCTCAATTTCATGTCACGTTTAAAAATTAACGTAATAGAAACAAGAAAAAATTGAACACTTATCTAATAACGACAATGTTTGCAATTAGGAACATCAATAGTATAAAGAAGATTCTATTTAAATAATACATCCTACTTTTCTTAAGCAAGCGTGTCAATTAGAAACAATGGAGGTATATAATTTGCTCGTAGTTTAGGGTGTCACATAATAAGCTGATTTTATGCGGGATCACGAAATGTCCGTTGCTATGTGATATCTCAGCATTTAAACGACGTTGCATGCTTTCTATGCTGAAATCAGTATTTCAAAGGTTTAAACTATAATTAGAAATTAATGTAGAACCGAATGTATATTGAAGTAGTTAGTCGTCGCCGCCTGAGAAATTCGTGGTTAAATTGAAGTCGTAAAACGTCCGGGTTAACTAACAACAAGTTTTAAGTAGGAATAGGCGCAACGAGCGCAAGTAAGAGCAACTTGTATAGTGGTTGCGCAGTGATCGCACTCATTATTTCCATAACGAGCGAGGGACGCGCGCGGCCGACCAACGATAGGTCGCTTTCGATTCCAGGTTCCCGGTGACTGCAATTAATTAACTAGCTAAACGGTATCACATCGCATTTTGATGTTTACGTAGCACTCTTGCGATAATGTTGCAGGTCATGGGTATGGCAACGCCAACCGGTTCATAATTAATTGATAAATCGTATGACCCACTTCTATAAAAAATTAAACAGTTCATTATAACGCCCGTTATGGTTTGTAGAGATCTGCGCATATAAATTAGTAATAATGTTAACAGCGATATGTACTTTTAAAATGTATGAGTATTTAAATATTTATAAATTTTAAGTACAAACAAGATGAATTACTAAAATACTTATGTATAGTTATCGACAATATTAAGGTATTGCGTAGGAACAATAATAGTAACATAGACAAAATGTAGGTTGAAGGGTTGTACGACGTCATCTTTTGTTTTTCGTTTGCCTTGAGAACGGACGACTATTATCAAGCGTAAGAAAGAAGTAAGCATCCTATGTATCCAATAAATATAAATTGAACCAATAAAATTGAACAATCTGTCATCAAAAATAATCAGAAAATGAATAAAAACTCATTTTTAGAAATAGACTTTCTAATACTTTGGTTATGATCTGCCCTGCGATTGTGTAAAAATCCAGACCCGACTTCAAATTCACTCATGTGTCCGAATTCACGTCATTTAGTGAAGAGTTTAAATGGAATATTTTAAGTATACAAATATAAAACAAAATCGATTGATTATACGTATCTCAGATATTCTATTCCAATGTAATTTCGAAACTCACTTCACTTAAGCCACGAAACATTATTGCCAATTCAAGATGCCGCTTTTTGAAGTGAATTCGGACACCTGCGTGAACTCTAATTCGAGTTTGAATTTTTACAGAATCGCAAGGCTGGTACGGAGGAGGGAAAACCAAAGTTGCGTATCGAGTTTGACAATATACAATGTATGTAAATTTATTTTTATGACACTTGTGTATCGAGATTAAAATAAATGTTATTAATATTGAGATTTCGACACACGTTTTATCTGGATTAAAAAGTCCCAAAAGATGCCAATTGCATAATATAGGTAAGAATTGTACGAGGATAAATAGAAAAACACAAATAAATATAAAAGGTAAATAGAAGAATTTAATGGCTTAAGAGCACCATAAACGAGAAGACACAAATTTATCGTCTTTGCGTCCCATGAATCAAACTGGTCGTAATCTTCAAGGTAGGAGGATTACGCGCATCTGACCGTAGAGCATTTTCAATTTATGTATGTAAATATTGTGCATGTATTCCAAAAAATAGCACTATCTGTGAACATACCTCTGACCGCCAGTGAACTGGTGTGTCGTAACAGCTGGCAGGAATCGTTACTTAAATTAGTTAACAATGACACATTTCGCTGGCAAACAAACCAAGAGGACTCTTAAATAGAGCAAAAGCTATTCCTGTAGTGTTACCGTCACACCGGTGAGCGTGCGGCCTGCTGTGATTCACGCACACCTCAAGGTGATGTCGACAAGAATGAGCGCACCTCGCGATCACATCTATAACATGGACTATTGCAGTGTTGATTAACAGATTTTGTCTGATACTTCTTAATCTTTAAATATCTAACTGTTTACAATAATATTAAGTTACATATTCAATACTCATTTACATTTTCATTCTACTGTCAACGAGTTCATATTATACTATCTCAAAGTTAGGAGAGCGCCCAAGCCCAAATTGTAATTATAAAGGTAACGTTCCAATAAGCTGCAATTAAAAATAGAAAATTACGTTATCCATACGCATGTTATAGATTAGATAAAAAAACGAATTCTTAAAATTTTCTAGATAAAAAAAAATATTTTTAAAATTCATCACGGCAAGGCATATATATGAGTCTCTTGGTAGCCGAAGACTTTCACAATAATCGTAATGGTTTAAAGAGTTTTTAACAGTTCGATTAAATATAGTTTTAACGCGCAATAACGCCATCCTCTGTCCCTATCACATTGAAGGGCGCCCTAATTTAGTCTCGTTATCTCTTTTAATTGTATGTCCACCCTTATTCAAATAATATAGTATAAAATATAAATAAAGAATAATTAATAGATAGATATTTTCAAATAGTTTCTTTTTTTTATTACTAATTCCTAAAAAAGCAAACATGTTTTTGAAATCCATAAAACTTAATTACCTGCCTGTAAATATCTGCGTCATCTTAAGACACACCATTGACAAATGTAATGTCGCGGCACATTCCTTAACTTCGAAAACGATACCTACTTATGTACACAACAGTTTTAATATTGTTGCAACATTTCATTAATATCAAAAATGTCACAAACACACCTTTTGGCACTTCTCACTTTAATGTTTAACGAAGGTGTAGTTTGATGTTACCCAATTCTAATAGGTTGGAAAAACTTGGGTCAGTAACACTCGTGATATACAGTTTACCAAGATCAGTGCGCGTGTCATGTTATATTTACCGAGCGAGAGCCGCGTGGCGGAGGCTTGCGGGCGAGTCATGCAAGCGCATCGGCTTCCCTCGCGAGTTGCGTAATGACTGTTGCTTGTTAGGACGTTGATCTCACGCTTGAACTTGACTATTGCAAACCAAGCTAACCACATATTTTCTAAGATACCACATAAAGTCCTAATTATTCTGCAACTGTTAATATTATTGTAAGTGATGGGAATAATGACTGTAATAGAAAATATAGTTTCTAGTAACTCTGTGTCGATTTTTTTTCCAAACCCCTTGGAAAACGTAACGTAGTAAATGATGAATGGTTAAGTTTTCATAAACTAAGAATAATAATATAATTTTACATAATCCGCAGAGTTTTAGAATGCAGGTATACTTTAGAAGAGTGAAATTTATGCGAAAATAATTTTCAAGCACATCAGTATACCAAACGCTATCCGGAAATTGTAGGAAATTGCAAGAGAAAATGAATCCCGACGGTTCGAGGTCCAGCCGACGTGTAGCCTTACGAAAGCCGTTCAGGCTGTTACTGCATTACATGTATGTTAGTTGTATTCACCAATTGAGAAAATTTCATAATCTAATAAGTTTGTAGTTCGAAGCGACGAGGCTCAAAAAACGAGGAGTTTAACTAGCTTTAAACATATACATATACTCATTACACATTCCTATATAAAAAAAAAAAAAAACAAAAAATGTTACTAGTGACATAGAGCATGAAAAATTATACATAGTTATTGCTTCTATCACTGAAAGAATTTAATTGTGCACACTGTTAACATAATCATAATGGAATAGTAAAAATAAAGAGATCGCCATTAATCACACGAACAGAGACCTCGCTTCCGAGTGAGGGTTGGTCTAGCGAAACATTTCTTTGAATAATGAATGTACAGGCAGGTACATATCGTGCCCCGTAACTGGACGTGATATACGCCGTCGTCGGCCGCATGCATAATTTCACTTATTTTATGTGGTTAATTGTCGAAAATGACCGCCAGTGAAATATATTAGAGTGTTCCGACGCCGACACCAGGGTGGCGGCTAATATATTCCGCGGCTCGTACGCTCCGCCCTCGTTTTACCTCCGTCTTTGTGCTGTGTGTTGATGCAGTATATACGTACGACACATGTTTTATGCAAATCACCTGTGGTGGTAGTGTCAAAGGTCTCCGGACATTTTAAGATATGTTGTAGTTACACAATGGAATTCCAAAATAGATGAGAGATTTCCGTGAAGAAAGTTCAGTTATTTATAGAGAGAATAAATTCCCACAGAAAGCGCTACATACAGCAGCAGGCATAGTAACCGCTACAGTGGGTGCACAATCGCGGTTACTCGCGTCTACAATACCTCTGCATTACAATTTTTCAAAGCAGACATAGGCGACAGAGCATAACAAAAGAGCTGGGAAGTCGCAAATAAACGAGCGCTGCTGCGGCAAACGAGTCGAGTATACGCACGCAATACCCTCTTCGAGACCTAAACATAAACAATACATCCACAATATTCTACACATAAAATATAATACTATGAATGAGTAATTCACAAAAGGAGCATACGTTTTTAATCAAAGGATTTAATTTGTATAATGTAACCGGTACCAAAATGTTAGGTTTCAAAAGCTTAGTAAGATTTGTGAGTAATTTCTATACATTTAACGCTTCCCTGGATGTGGGATGAATAGAGGCAGATCGGATGGAGAGATACGTGGACCGACAGTAGCACGCCTTCGCAGCCGCGTTTTTCAGGTGGACCTCGCTACATGTAAAGAAATAGACGTTGCAATCGCGGCTAGATCTACCACGGGTTCCCCGACTAGCATTCTGAATAAAAATGCGATGAAACTTCCCTACATTCGCATATTAAACAAACATATCGTTAAAGTTTTTACTATAAGGTAATCTTTTTATCTTGAATCACTCTTGTATATTGATGCAAATCGAATAATCGCGCTGAGTAATTATTTAATTACAAATAAGATTTGCAATAAATAGATACAAATCAGACATTATTTCTCCAATTACAAATAAAATTTGATATAAATAGGCTAGTTTCAAATATAAATTTATCCCAAACAAAAGTAAATAAAACAAATACCTCGGTTAAAATTTTCTTAATTTAGTTATAATTAGATAATAGTTTAATAATATTCGATAATAGTTTTTTTCCAATTTTAGGTTTCACGTGTCAGTAATAAATCCAAGAAACGAGGAGTCTTAATTATTTATATTTTAGTTTACAATAATATCAGAACCGAATTAGCCACGTTAATTTTCCGTCAGTGTTAAGAAATAAAATAACTCACGCTTCTGCCTAAATTCATATATTTAAGTATAAACATTAACTGACAAATAAAACTCGAGTCACAGATTAGTTTAAAAAGTTACAGATTCCGATCATTGGGCATTGACAAAACAAATATATATATTTTAGGTGCTCGCAAGAATGCCCACAACTTTTTGAAAAGCCACAAACTATAATGTACTATTATTTTATTGTTAAACCTCATACACAAGAAGGTGCGTGTCAATACTCACATTGTGAGTCAAATCGAATCGTTTTCAATTATGCACTTGATATCAAGCAAACTAAAGGCCCCTCAAAAATTTGCAAAAATATTAATGTATGCGCGCGTTAAACAATGACGATATCTCATCTACATTTTTTTAACAAGCAACAAAAACACGTCAGTCAGTGTCAATACACTATACAACCTCATTACTCTCAAATCTGACTTTTGCTAGTCAAGTGACTCATAGTTAATCGTAAATTGAGATTTAATTCTCAAGAATACAGAAATTCCAGCCTGATTTGAGAAAATTATCGCTGGATATTTTTTCCTCAATTAATTAATTAAATATTAGTTAAATATTTTGCATCTTTAAATAAAGGAAAAGATATAATATTGTTGCAAACCCCCAACAAATATTGTGATGTCATACTTATTAACCATCTCCAACCTTTCAATCTCGTTCCAGGAACATTCTATCTAAAAAGAGGAGGGACTTCTTTTAAAGGGATATTATACTAATGAGACTATGAACAGGTCTCATACCTTTAAATATATTTTCTCATCTTATGGGCAAAATAGGTATATAACGACTTATGGTCGATTTTCGTTTCAATTAGGATTTCAACAATGGGCGGAGAAAAGCAATGCAGCAAAATACCGTGCAATTATTAATTTTAGAAGTTCATTTGTATTATTTTGGCGCTTAAATTATATTTCTCCAATTTTTATATTCAGGCAATTACAAAAATCACTTAGCGACAATTAAAAAAATGTTGAAATTTATGTGTTGGCACTTTCAGTTCAAATGGGTGAAATTAATTTTTCACACAAGAATAATAACTTACAATTTTTTACGATAGATGTCTAAAGTATGTAATTTACATTAAGTATATTATTCGCAGCTTACATTGCAAGTAAACATTACTTTGTCGATTTTTGCTGATTGTATTAAATTAAATACCTAAATATGCGCAGAATTATGTCAAATCTGAAACTGCATTTTTTGCAATTGGATATTTGAAGTTTTGGATTTACAATCGTTAATAATAAAACTTTTACTCAAATGCTGAGATAGCACTCGATTATATTGGTCTCTTTCTATATTAATTAAACAAACTCAAAATAAATAGAGAAAGGGCAAGCGAGAGAGATACTTATAATTCTAAAAGAAGCAAATAAAAAAATATGATAAATTAGGTTATGGTTGGACAAGAAATTGATATGCATATCCAAATCACCAATTATAAAAAAATAATGTGCCTTACTTTGCATAATATTTAGTTAAATATCCACGTGTACACGCTCTGTCGATTGTAATTATCTATATATAGTTTTTAAAAACAGATACGAAATGTTATTATGTTTTTTAAATGGAGATTATAAATGAAAAGGTGTAAAACACTTAAAGCATTTCCTAAATTAGTAGAGCGATGTTGAGTTATGTTTTACATAATGTCAATATTTATCTTATTTAAATGATTACTAAGAGAACTTCTCTAAATCTCATTTTTTTCATGTTTTTATCATTTTCTCGACAAATTATACTTTCCGATTTAGCCAAAAGAATCTAATTACTTGTGGTTCTACCATAACACTAACAATTCAGCTAGCATTAAAGGTTTGATCGTCCTTGCTTCTCCGTATATATATTTATATATACTATAACCTTTACATAAACGTAACGTAAACAAGTTCAAAATTAAGGTCAAGAAATAAGAAAAAATACTTCATAAGATTATTGGATAGTTAAAAAAACAGCACACAATTGTAATTCAATACGTAAACAAATAGGTTGGAGCAACAAATACAATTTTCTTACAATTTGTAATTTGAGATCTTTCCCGGCAGCGGCAGCGGCTGTAACCGATGTTGTCACTGGTGATAACCACTGATGCAAGTTTATATATCGTTTAGGTAAAAGTTTTAGTGAAACATCCGCTTGCGCATAAGCACGCTCGAGGCAAGCGGCGGCTGCGCCATCGAGGGCGAGAGCCGGCTCAAGCAGAGCTCCACCACCCTCTAAAACCACCATTTGTCTAACTGTACGTCACCACAAAATCACAACAAACACAAAGAATTTCCACGCGTAAGTCCGCGCGAGTCAGGCTACATGACTGGCTCAGAGCGCGTCACATTCGAACGGCGCGAGTCGCGGAACTGGCGCGCCGCACCTGCTATCACGCTACCGCCCGCGCCCCACTTCGCACCGCCCACCAACTCAGCAGCAAGCACCGTTGCTGCAGCGGTCGCCCTGCATCCACAAACCTGGACAAACTACTTCGTGCCAGTTTGCGAACCATTAACGTGGACGTTACCGATTAACCGTCATTTTTCAAAACAACAAGTTTTACGATCGGGGGTATCAATAGCATAAACAAATTTCAACTGCGATTTCGTAAAGATCTACTTCGTAAGATGTAGCTATAACATGATGATGATAAACAGCACCATGGCAACAACGATAGCTTACTGATGCACGTTATCAAAATTACACTGTGGGAAACGACATAGACTTTTCATAAATACGTATTATGTACAATACATTTACTAACTTCTTCACATTTTTTTGTTATCTATAACAGCTAAAGAAATTTATTCTGTACTTTTATCAAAATTTTAGGCACAGAGTATTGAACATAAGAAATGGACGTACGGTAGATTTTCGTGAAATTTCTCAAAACTAACTTGTATTTAAAAAAACCTTTCCATAATTTACGATCCCACCTAACACATATCATGTAAAATGTTGTCAAGACGATGCCATTCAAAAGTTTTCAGAGCTTATATAGAACCAAACTTCTTACTATACATATGCTCCTTAGTCAAAACGACATACGTTTTGTCCCATTTGGCACATTGGTGAGCACCATTCCCTCTCTTCCTTGGATAATAAATTAATTTATAATAATTCACAAATTATTATTAAGTAGTAATATTCAGAAATTCATATAGTGCAACAGACACATTCAGCAACTGCTAGAAGCGCCGCCATTAAAGTGTTAAAGCATTTAGGCTCTGCAATGGGTACTAAGTATTTCGACTTACTGAAGTATATAACCGTTACAATACTCACATATTTTTGTCTCAAGGATTAGGAGGGTTGCATATGGTTTATTCCGATGAACAAGAAATTGCACATTACTTTTAAGAAGAAAATATTATTTAACAAATGTATAAATATATATCCTTAAAATTTACAAAAAATAATAACGTGCTAATTTTGCTTAATTCGTTTTATTATTACGGAGGTTTGTATGTGCCTGAAACTTTTTATTTTACTGAAACCATGACATCTGTTATAAAACTAGTATTTTGGTTACCACGAACATATTTTCTTTTCATCCACAAATATTGGCAGTTTTTTTGCACAAAGCAAAAAATGTTTTTTTTTATTTTGGTCAACTATTAAAAACCAATAAAAAAAAATTTGCTAGAATAATTTTGTATACCACTATAATATAATATTTCAGTTTCGACATATTTGAGTCGTCTGCTAAAAGCTATTTTGACTACGAAAAGTTACCTTTTATAATAATTCAAAAGCGTGGAAGCCATTTCTCTATAAACTCAATATTCGAGTTCAATACATATATCACATATACAAATAGCGTGGTTGTTAATAACACAAAACAATAGGGCGTCACTGAATAAATGGTTGGTGAAATTTGTCCACCAAAGTTTCAGAATGGCACGAGGCGTCGATTCCTGCCACGTGACTAATAATAGAACTCCACCTCTTAAAATAATTCAAACGCTCCTCCTCTCTAGCAATTGCAAAAACCTTATTATTCAATTAAACTTCTATAAATATTTATGCTATAATTTTTTACAGAGCTAATCAATTCCAATCGATGGAAGAGGAGCCTTTATTTAAATTCTATTATGATATTACTGTGATAAATTTGAATTATTTACTTCATCTAATGATTATTTAATTACTCATCGAATTTATATGATGTAAGTTCATTACAATAAATAGAATTCAAAAGGTCTTGTACGATCGTCGCTGTTATTAACATTTGCTAAAAATTTAATCGCCTAATTCATAACAACTTTATTCCCGCGATAGTCAAAACTTGAAAAACTGTTCCAATAAAAACCACAAACAAAGAAAAATGAGTTTCAGAAATGCGTGATTCAACTTGAATCCAATTTATAAGAACGTCCCCTTGAGAATACAAAGTAATAGCAAAAGTTTAGAAAAAATCACACGTCAATAACACCATGCGAAAAAATAACTGTTTTTGTTATGCATATTACATATAGTTTATTTGTTAAATTTAAAATCACTATTTATAGTATATTCGCCCGCGTGGTCCTATATTATACCTTTATAAAGACCTTCTTTTGACCCTACCTATTCAAAAACCGCATCAAAATCCGTTACGTAGTTAAATCTAAGTATAAATAGGGACACAGACAGACCCAAAGCGACTTTATTATATACTATTTTTGAAAAATGTATTAACGAAATAAAGATGTATCAGGCAGAAAGTTTTCTGGCTGTCAAAATGGTATTATACAGCAGAAATTAATTTACCATAAACACTGGTATTAATAGACGCGAGACAATAAGCAACCCCCCTGAACTCTAGTCAGCGGCCTAATGTAACGCAGCACGCGACCACGTCGTCGCACTCCGACCTCGAAACGAGGCATACATTTGCATACAACGCATATAAATACCATGGTACTACTTATAGTGCTTAGTAATCAGTTGTTTATTTCAACACAAATTTAACAAAATCACGTTGTATGACAACAAATTGTGTTATTATATGTATTTTACACAGCAGGCTGATTCGAAGGACGTTCAAGTTTTAGTAAAGTTTATTCAAATAGCGCCTCAGTTGTTCACGAAATATGCTATTTCTATCTATACGAAGTATGTTTTAAAAGAAATAGAACTGGAATTGCTTAAATATTAACAAATATCTAAAGTCCTTGTAGTTGTAGTTATAGTGATAGTCAATGTCAATTAAGATTATTATTACATTTGATAAAAATACAATTATGGAAGATACCTTACAACCAGTGTACTAGAATACTACTTCCCAAACTTCGTTAAATAATTAACGAAATAAAAGGAAATTGCATGATTTATGATTTAAGTAGTAAGTTCCGAGTTATGTAAGGAAAAGAATCGTTAATTTTATAAAGTGGCAACAAAACAAACAAGAATTGCGTGCATCAATTATTCCACAATTCAAAAGATTTTAGGAAGTAGTCTGTCTCCTCTGCTCGCCTGTCAGTCTACTGAAACATAATGAACTTTCTTTTCCACGGTAATGTCAAGCGTGGCATTTTTAATGAACTTTGTTATTTAGTAACAAACTAAACCGTTCCCTTTAAATATTTTAATTTGTAAAAATGTATATTTAAACTATGTTATTATTATCTTATAACAATGAAATCTGAATGAAGTTACAATTGTAATCAATGCATTGAATACAAAAGCACCTAGACCTGACCTGACCAAATAACAGCGGATATCATTATAAAAATAAGAACGACAAGTGGCAAGCGTAATACTCAAGAATTGCGACAATGTTTGACGAATAGGTGAATGGCCCAGCGATTGGCAGAGATCGGTCGGTCGTAGACCCGCTGCATAAAAATGCTCAACCACTAAGTGTGACAACTACAGAATGTGACTTGCTAGTAAAGTTATTACACATTATGAATTAAAAAGCGTATGTACATAATACCACAGGGAAAAGCTGAATTTGTCAATGGCAAGGGAATTCGCGCGTAAATTTTAAATGTACTTCATAATATAGAAAACTGTGAGGCGAACACTCGATAACTGGGAGAGACGTGTTAGCATTGATGGCACTACACGCAATCAATATCCGTTATTCAGATAAAACAACACGTCTTCAAACCATCGACTGAGCTCGAATTGTTTTTACACGCCCATAGAGTTGCCATCCATCCTGTTCCCCAAGATAGATTTAATAATGTCCCGTATAGATTTACTGCATCCTAGGTTTGAAGAAGGCAAACAAATACACTTAAAACTACTAGGCGTCCTAACAGGCTGTAAGTGTGAATAAAAATGAAAAAAACTACATAATCTTTTTAAGGGGTTCTTCTAACCAAAATATATAAAAGCAAAACAGAGATCAATTTTTTTAATGTAAAAAATCTCTTTTTTCCTCTAAAATTCACCATTTTATTCATTTCTCCTTGTAATTCGGCTATTCTACTATACTATTTTATTTGTAAAGAAAGTTGTTAAATATGTATGTGCATATTTTTGTAGCGGAAGGCTTTACGAAGCACTTATACAATACGAAAACTGTTACTATTCGTGAGTAATGTAAATAAATAACTAGTTATTAATTACGGGACTTGGTCTATCTGCCCATATGAAAAATAAAATAACGTACTAAACATAAAATATTTTTAATCACAGAAACCGATTTATTGGGGACTAAAATTACGCAACGGCTCCAATCTTTAAAAGGCTCGATAGGTGCAGGGTTAAGGTGAGGGTATTTAAAATATAAATTATATTTAACTAGCGCTACTGCATTACTGCGTCTTGTGTTCAATTTGAATTAAAGCCGCATTTAGAAAAAAGTCTTAGTATTTGAAATTTGCGGTTGGTAACCCAACACTTGAGGAAACTTGGGACAACAAAATAGTAAATTGTGGTACAACATTGCAGTGTTAAGAAGTTAATTTAAGAATAATGCATTTGAGGCGACTATTCACGATGCTACGACGTCCGCGCGGAGATTGACACTCCACCGTTGTGCCGGCCACCTCAATTATTCACATGACACACCCCGACCGCCGCATCATCCGCTTGCTGCCAAATTAAAAGTAAATAACCAAATGAAAACAAGCGCGCCCACACCGCTAGGGAACTCGCAAACCTTTTATCGTTGTCGGGTAAACAACTACAACCAGCTAAACACACTATCATTCTATCGGCTATGTATTTGTGAATAAATGCAGATAAAGTGCAATGCTAGCTCTGCTTTATAACTGCTCGTTAAAACAAACAGCATTGTTAGCATCAAAATATCGGTTGAATTCTTAACTTGACCTTTTTTAAAATAAAGTCCTGCCTGGAAGGAGTTTTGCTCAAAATGAAAAAGCACCGAATAGTAGTATATATTTTACATCAACTAGCTACGATTTCTGTAAAACAATCAATTTTATTAATTTATCAAAATATGAACT